TGTGCCTCCCTCAGGCTCTGACCGTGACAGCCGGCGCCGTGGGGCTGTGCCACCCTCTATCCAGGACCTCACGGACCACGACCTGTTTGCCATCAAACGGACCATCACAGTGGGCCGCCCTGAGAAGGCTGAGCCCCGTGCACCTTCGCCAGCACCTGCTGTGTCCCCAAAGCGCGAGGTCCTGTATGACTCTGAGGGTCTGAGTGCGGATGAGCGGGGTGGCAAGAGTGACAAGGACCGGAGGCGTTCAGGGGCTGCGTCCTCGTCCTCATCCTCAAGGGAAAAAGGGTCTCGACGGAAGGCCCTTGATGGGGGGGACCGGGGCCGAGACAGGGACAGGTCATCCAAGAAGACGCGGCCACCTAAGGACTCAGCACCTGGCTCGGTGCCAATACCCAAGGCCCCGCTAAGCAGCGGCTCCTCCTCCTCCTCCTCATCCTGCTCCTCCCGAAAGGTGAAACTGCAGTCCAAGGTGGCCGTGCTCATCCGGGAGGGTGTCAGCAGTACCACGCCTGCCAAGGATTCCTCATCTTCTGGCCTGGGCTCCATCGGGGTCAAGTTCAGCCGAGACCGGGAAAGCCGCTCACCCTTCCTCAAGCCGGATGAGCGAGCTCCTGCAGAGGTGGCTAAGGTGGCCCCAGGCAGCACCAAGCCCAAAAAGACCAAGGCCAAGGCCAAAGCCGGGGCCAAGAAAGCAAAGGGGACCAAGGGAAAGACCAAGCCATCAAAGACCAGGAAGAAGGTCCGCAGTGGAGGCGGTAGCACGGCCAGTGGCGGGCCTGGCTCCCTGAAGAAGTCCAAGGCCGATAGCTGCAGCCAGGCAGCCAGTACCAAGGGGACAGAGGAGACATCATGGTCTGGGGAGGAGCGGACCACCAAGGCCCCCAGTACCCCACCACCTAAGGTAGCCCCACCTCCACCTGCACTCACCCCAGACTCACAGACTGTGGACAGCAGCTGCAAGACCCCTGAAGTCTCCTTCCTCCCAGAGGAAGCCAGTGAGGACACTGGGGTCCGAGTAGGGGCAGAGGAGGAAGAAGAAGAGGAGGAGGAAGAGGAGGAAGAGCAGCAGCCTGCAACTACCACAGCCACCAGCACCGCTGCAGCTGCCCCAAGTACTGCTCCCAGTGCGGGGTCTACAGCTGGAGACTCTGGCGCAGAGGATGGGCCAGCTGCTAGGGTCTCCCAGCTGCCCACACTACCCCCACCCATGCCCTGGAACCTGCCTGCTGGTGTGGACTGCACGACCAGTGGTGTCCTGGCCTGTGAGTCTTCTGAAGTGAGGGGAGGGAAGGGTGCTGGCTGAGAAGCGGGGAGGAACAGTGCAGGGTCGAGTCCAGTCTTGGGTGTACAGGGAGCAGATGGAACAGAAGTATGTGGTGGTTAGCACAGAATGGAGAGCTTGATCAGCATGCTGTCCTGCTACGTGGGGGATAGCTGGGGCTTGGGTGGGTTAGAGGCAGGCATTACTCTAACCATCTCCTCTTCATATCCTGGCCCTCCTAGCCTCTACACACATACCCCTTGTGTCAGAAGCATATTGGGCGTCTGTAGTGATTCTCAGTAGAGGAGATCCTTTTTTTTTCTGTTCCTAACTGAGGTTTTCTAGTCCTGGGATCAAGATAGGGAGGGACCTGGCAGCGTCAGGGTTAGATGAGGCTTGCTACCCGCCCGGATAGCGATCATCTATCTCACCTCTGTCCATTGCAGTGACTGCACTGCTGTTCAAGATGGAAGAAGCCAACCTGGCCAGCCGAGCAAAGGCCCAGGAGCTGATCCAGGCCACCAACCAGGTGGGCTCCCATGGGGAAGAGTCCCCACAGCCCCTTCTTTTGTCCATTGCCTCGGGGTAGGAGAGGAACTACAACTCCCAGCAGGCCTTAGGGCAAGGTATTGGCCGGAAGAGGAGCCTTTTGCTCTCTAACATTGGGAAATTTGAGGGAACAGAGGAGGTACAAAGCCTCCTCTTCCCTTCTACCTTCCTTGGCTCATCATACTCTCTTCTCACAGATCCTCAGCCATCGGAAGCCACCCTCCACTCTGGGGGTGACCCCAGCTCCTGTACCCACTTCTTTGGGTCTGCCCCCAGGCCCTTCCAGCTACCTGCTTCCTGGTAGCCTCCCCATAGGGGGCTGTGGCTCTACCCCTCCTACCCCCACTGGGCTGGCCCCTGCATCTGACAAGAGAGAGGGCAGCAGCAGCTCAGAGGGACGTGGGGACACTGACAAGGTGAGATGAATTTGAAGCATAAGAGGACTAGATGAATGGGGCAGGGTGCTGAGCAGTTACAACAGTAAACCACAGAGTAGAGATGCAGCTCGTATTGAGTGCTTCCCTGCAAGAAGCACAGGGTTTCATTCTCAATTCCAGATAAAAAGAACTAATGTATAAAAGAATTTAAAACATTTAGTTTGTATATGTATATATGTGTTTATAAATACCCGTTTAATGTACCTCTCAGTTGCTCCCCACTGGGAAATAGCAGGTTCTTAAAGAAAAGTCAAGCACTTAGGACTGAGTTGGTCATGTTACAGACTCAGGCCTGTAGCCCTAGCATTTGTGAAGGCTCAGAGGCAAGGGAGATGGTGATGAGGCCCTCCCTGGCTGGAGTGAGAACTGCAGGCACAAAGAGGAACAGTGGCTTTTGACTGCTACTACCTGGCCTTGGACTGCTTTCTTTAAGTCCTATCTAGATGGATTTACCTGGTCATGGCCCTGACACCACTGTCTGAAGGCACTAACCACTGCTCTGCCTCACGCTGGCTGTAGAACAGGCTTGTAGTGGAAGCAGATGGCCTCAGTTCACCTAGCCCCGGGTTTGTGAACATTCCCATGCCGTGCCAGCTAGGCTTCGAGGACTGTTCTGTGCTGTTTGTAGTCTCTTGGCAAGTGTGAGGTGTGGTGTAACATGCAGCCCCTCTTCTGTGTTACTTAAGAATCTCAGAGCTGAAACTGGGTCTCCCTGTAGCGGGGACGCAGGTGTATTGTAGTGCCTGCTCTCTCCAGGGTGCGTTTGCCTACACTCATCCTGCTGTGGGTCCAGGCCCTGTCCCACCGTCTCTGGCCTCCACACACCTGTTTTGGGAAGCAGCTCTACCTGTGGTCGTGGACACTGGGCTTTCCCAGGAAGCTCAGCCTCCCAGCATAGCTTCCCTTGATGGTGGTGTCCCATTTTCCATGAGTCACAGGATCTAGTTCCCCGGCGGTGGAAGACTGGGCCCCCTGTGATGCTGTCCACCTTAGCAGCTTGAGCCACCTGGGCTTGACCGCTCAGCCCCTCCTGTACTTCTGCCAGAGCTCAGGCAACCTGGACCAGAGCAGAGTGTGAGCAGCCAAGCTGGGTATCTCTGTTACTTAGCCTGTAAGGTCTGCTTAGGGAGAGTTGTGATCAGCTGTGTGTGGGGTACACACCGCTTGAGGCCGAGGCAAGAGATTTAAAAGCTAAGGGCAAGAATGGGCAACTTGAAGACACTACTAGAAAGCAAGCTGGGACTGGGTGGTAGAGCACCAGCAACCCCAAGCTCTCAGTTCCAGCACTGATAAAGGAAACAGTAGTGTTTGACTGTTTGTCTTCCAGCAAACTGCTGGACCTGGCTAGGTCAGGGTGGCCCAGGGTCTGGCCTAGGGTAACTGCAGAAAGGGGAGCACAGGGTAGGCCAGGGTGAGGGCACTGCAGGTCCTCCTTACTTGTTTGGTCTTTACTGTGCTTGTCTCACCCCCACCAGTATCTGAAGAAGCTGCACACACAGGAACGGGCAGTGGAAGAGGTGAAATTGGCCATCAAACCATACTACCAGAAGAAAGACATCACCAAGGAGGAGTACAAGGACATCCTGAGGAAGGCTGTCCACAAGGTGGGGCAGAGGGACTGTGGGGATGGGAACCTGGGTCCTGGAGAGGGGCATAGGGTAGGCCAAGTCATTGAGTCCAGTGAGGGTGCCCTGGGCTGGCAGGAATTCAGGTCTTCCTGGCTCTGCAGATTTGCCACAGCAAAAGCGGGGAGATCAATCCTGTCAAGGTGAGCAACCTGGTGAGGGCCTACGTTCAGCGCTACCGCTACTTCCGCAAGCATGGTCGCAAGCCGGGGGACCCCCCAGGACCCCCTCGGCCACCCAAGGAGCCAGGGCCCCCAGACAAGGGTGGCCCTGGCCTGCCCTTGCCCCCTCTCTGAGACTTCATACCCTGTTCCTGCGCCTCTGAAATTCTGGACATATTTATGGCTCCACTTCCCCACTATACCCCCCACAGTGGGATGATGGGGTCGCTGTGAGGAAGAGGAGAGCCCCCCCAACCCTGCCCCTGCCCATTATCCTGGTCCCTTAGCCTACTTCCACGGTCTCGGCCCTTCTGTCATGCCCCCTCCAATTTCATTAAAGATTTCATGAAATAGAGATGGGTGTAGTGGTGCACACTTTAGCAGGCTGATCTCAGGCTGTTCAGGGACAGCCTGGGTTTATAGAGAGATTCTGTTTTTACAAGAAAAAAAATTTTCCCCCATAAAATGCTCTTTTCAGGAGAAAAGGGTTATGGGGGAGGGAGACATCATGAAGGGGCCACACCAGACCCAGGAACGTGGTGACAGGAGGCAGGGCCCAGCCTCAAACAGCAGCTGGGCTGTCTCATGGATACTGGAGCTGACCCCATTGAGTGGCCTCTAGTGTCAGCAGCCCTGTGAGGCTGCAGTGACTCAGTCCATGGTCCTAGAAGGAAACTGAGGCGGTAAGTCAGGCTGCCCACAATGGCCTGCCAGTTGTCATCCATTACCACTCAGATTCCCCTGGCTCATGAAGGGAGAGCGTGCAGCCCCGGGCCTGGCCTGTCTCCCACTTACTTTGTGATACTTTCTCCAGGACCGTGGGGAGAGGTCAAGACTGGTAACTATGTGGTCCTCGCTCCTTCAGTCTCACTCACCAAGCACCTAAACTCCAGTTGCATGTGGGCAAACTGAGACCTCTGTAGAATAATCAGCAGTTTGGGGACAGTGTAACACCAGACAGACGTGTGATGGCATAAACTGCTTTATTGGTGTCTGTTGGGCAGGGCTCAGGTGTCTCTGGTGGCCTATAAGTCCATGTCCTCCACCAAGTCCTGGAGGTAGGCCTTGTACTGGTCAGAAGTGAAGGAGATAGGCTGGCTGTTGGAGATGTGCAAATCCACGGTTCTCAGTGAGGAGGCTCCCCCTTCCCGAGCCATCTCTAGTAGCTCCTTAAGACATGTGGGAACAACCTACATGGTGCAGGAATGAATCAGAGCAAATGGCTAATCAGTACACACTCCCAGCATAGCCCAGGGTGGATCCTCCCTCAAGCTAGGGCTGCTAGGAACTGTAGTTCCCCCTCCCACAGGCATAACCAATGGGGCTCCTGGGAGCTGAATACTTCAAAGGCTGTATACTTGCAGCTGACAGCTCCAGGGTCTAGTGTTAGAATAAGCTGTGATAGCTAGGCCCTGATGAAGATGGGGAACAGTGGCTGTGGAGCCCTGTTGAAGATGCTGTTTCTTTTGTTTGTTTTTTTGAGACAGGGTTTCTCTGTAGCTTTGGAGCCTGTCCTGGAACTCGCTCTGGAGACCAGGCTGACCTCAAACTCACAATGATCTGCCTGTCTCTCTGCCTCCCAAGTGCTGGGATTAAAGGCGTGCGCCACCACCACCCAGCTGAGTTGCTGTTTCTTGGAGGGGCTTCTGGGAGTTTTAATCCCTGGCTGCTGCAGGTTCCTCCACAAATGGACCCTCCCAGCCCCAGAAGCACAAGACAGCTGTCACCTTGACCATCACAAGCCTCTTGACCCACGGCTGGTCCTGGGGCCACGACTCCCCTACACAGAACCACAGAGTGTAGCGTGGGGAGTGTCCACTTCCTTCCATGAAGGCAATCAGATCTGGGAACCCAGAAGTTAGGTCAGAAAAGAAAGGATGGCCCTCTACGCTTTCCATGCACTTACTGTCTTCCCTGCTAATTCTCTGCCGTCACCATAGGCACTGCCTTTCTGGGCAGTTCCCTGCAGACAAGCTCATCCATATCTGCTTTCCTCCTTCAGCAGCACTATGGAGGTAAGATGTCAGCCCACCCCACCCAGGGGCTCCACAGTGAGGAGGGTGGGCCCTAGAGGAGGCTGTTGGGGTGGCTCCTCAACAGCTCAGGCCTTGCTGTGGTTCTCTGAACTGACACTGTCATGCTAGCCTTTAAGGGCTGCCAGGAGGAACGCATTTAAGGCCAGCCGAAGCAACGAGACCCTGCTTCAGAAAACTCAAGTATTTAATAGAAATGCAATGTCAAGCTGAGCACCAGCTCACACCAGGCGCCCTAGCCCTAGGGAGACCTGGGCTACAGAGGCCTTTTCTCAAAACAGCTTCAAGACTCTCCATCTCACTTGGCATTTTGTGGGTTCTCAGCAGTCCCATGTGTTTAGTGGAAAACACTGGAGGCAGGTGCTGGTCTCGTTCCCCAAAACTACTGGACAGCAGAGCTCTAGGGGACTTATTTATCCTGTAGTTTGCAGGGGCACTACCGTTGAGCCAAGCCCCACCCCAGCATCATTTCTGTATATTCAACATAAAATGGTTGCCAGAGCATCTTATAATGCTTGTACTACTTGAGGTTCAACAGTTACAGCAGCCAGCCCCCAAACTTGGCAGGCCTGTCCTTTGCCACAGAGCAGAGTAGCAGGCTCTGAATACAGTCCACCACCATGACCTATCAATCCCCATAGGGTACTCACCTGTCACAAAGGGCCCAAGGTCGAACACAACTCCGTCCAGGTCTTTGGGAACCTCTCCATCAGGCCCTCGCCCACTGTCTGGAAGCAGCTCGTCACCCAGAGCCCAGAAGGAATGGGAGTGGCCCAGACGCTGGGCCCGGAGACACTGCCCTGACCGCCACAGAAACAGCCCCTTGCCCAGCCCCTTGAGTACTTGGCTCACATACTCTCTCACAAGCCTGTCTGTCAGAAACCCCTCAGGGTCTGGCAGGGTGACTGGCTGTCCAGGCAGTGTCCTGTTATCAGCTGTGGTGCCCACCAGCCGCAGGCCCCCTGGGCAAAAGAGTGTCTGCTGGAAGACCTGCCGGCCCCGATAGAAAGCGGTCACTTCGAACTCCCATTCTGTGTGGAGGCATGAAAAGGGAGAGGTGAAGAGGACCAGGGTGAGGGCTGCTGCCCCTGCTGCAGCCCTTCCTGCCCCTGCTGCAGCCCTTCCTACCCCACAGCCTGGCACTCACGTTCCTCAGCTAGCAGCTGCCTCAGTGGATTTTCCTGGGGTGCCAGGTTTGGGAGGTTGTCCAGGTTTGGGCTTAGTGGTGGTTGAGGAGCAATAGCCAGGCCCAAGGACCCCTCATCCAGGAGAGGTCCCAAGACCATGTCACCCAGTAATTCTGGGAGGTCTTCCTGGAAGAGGAAAGAGTGGTGAAGGAATGGAGGTTCAGGGGTAAAAGCTGGGCTGGGGAGGAAGGGTTGACCTAACAGGGACAGGGCAAGATGAGGCACAGGACTGGTGCCTCCTCACCTGGGGATCAGACACACTGCTTTTGCCATTGGCATCAGGAGAGGTGTCCAGATGTGCAAAGTCCCTTGCTGCTGTCCAGAGAGAGGGTGGGTTGAATGAAGGGCAGAGATCTCCTGATCCCAAGGTCTGCACCCAAGCCAGCCTGGTTACACACACCTGGGGTCACAAACTCATACACTTTATGAGGGTCAAAAGGGTCCTTGCTCTGGTCATCGGCTAATCGCAACACTTCTTTCCGGTTCAGGGCCGACCGGAAATTCCTCTTCCAGGTTGACAGGTCAGGCTTATCCTTCCCTGGGATGTAGGCACCACTGGCTTCAGCCCAGGCCTGACACACCAGTGATTCCAGGATAGGAAGGGAGAGGATTTAGATTCTGCCCTGACTTCCTGACACCTCCCACCATGTTGCATCCTGTAGCTTCAGAGCCAAGGTCTCGCATTCACCTGGCCCCTTATCCTTTCAGCACCAAAAAGAAATCCTCTTTGGCTTTGAAACAGGGTCTCACACACTAACCGAGGCTGGGCTCCAACTTGTCACCGTCCTGCTGTGTGCCACCAGGCAGGACACCCCAGGACACCTTCAGGACCAAGTCTCACATTCTCTCTATTTCTACCACTAGTCCATGCTAATTTGGCAACTACTAACCCCATCTGTGAGGCAGTCTCAAACTTGAAGTGTTCTAAAATCGAGCACACCCCCCAAAGACCTCTCATTCTCTGCAGCAGTGGTTCTCAACTTTCCCAATTCTGCGATCCTTTAATACAGTTTCTTGTGGTGACTCCAACCATAAAATTATTTTTATTACTACTTCATAACTAGTTTTACTACTGTTATGAATTGTAATATAAATATCCGACGTGCAAACCCTGTGGAAGTGGTGTACTACAGGTTGAGAACCTCTACTACAGAACGTGCTTTAAGTGACCCAAACTTGCTTTCCGGGTTCTATTCTTGGAATCGGCCAATCAATTCCTGTCTATCCCTCCAGTCCCATCTACCTTCATTAGCAAGACCCGACCCCTAACTAGCCACGCCCGGGAACGCCTCTTCAACGTCGCACCTGGAAGATGCCAAAGTCAGCCATCTGGGCGTCCTGCCGCAGGCCATGCTTCCATGGGATCCGGAACCGAGTGCGGCTCTCGTCCAGCCAGGCCACGCCTTCCAACTGCCCCTGGTCCAGCTGCGACACCAGCCAGGGCAAGATCCGCGGTTTCTGGGTTCCCATGCTTGGGCCTGCGCACACAGGGCAGTTCCTGAGTATGCATGTCAAGGAGCAAATGCACTCAAACCTCCGCGATCCGTTCGCCTTCTTTTACTCATGCTTTTGTGGGGTACAAATGGGAAACTCCTTTCCACCCTTCCATACCTAGTGGGGCCGTCTTTCCTACCCTAGCTTCTCCGGTAGAAACTCTACCTACCCATCGGTTCCTTCTCTTTTATAAATACAAGGCCCTCCCTATTATCCAAAGCAGGCACCCCACTTCTAGGGTGGAGCCCTCTGTTCCTAGTCTTTTCAGACCGTGACTGCTGACCTTCACCCACAGGTTCTTTGCTCATTTCCAGTCTTCTCCTAAAAGCTTCCAAGTGCAGTCGCCTCTCTCCAATCTTCTGTTTTGGTTTTCCTATATTGTTTTTATTGATGTTTTTAGAAAGGGCCTAGAACGTTGCATAGGCTGGCCTTGAACTTGCTGTGTTCAATTCTTTTTGCAACCCAGATTGGCCTGGGACTCACTATGTGGCCCAGGCTGGCCTGGAATGCCCTCTGTAAGCCAAGCTAGCCTCAGGTTGTTCTTCAACTCACATAACCCAGGCTGGCCTGGAGCTCATTCTGTGGTCCAGCCCGGCCTGGCACTCACTTTGGCTGGCCTTGAACTTGCAGCAATCTTACTGTCTTCAGTCTGGGTGCTGTGACTGCAGACCTACGTCTTCAACGCATGGCCCTTCTGGTTTTCGGTCGCCGAGCTCCTGCGCGTCAGGGCTGCCCCATGCTGTGCCCTGAGGCCGCCACCCGTCCGATTCTTCCGCGTTACCTACCGGGGAGGAATCGTGCACTCGTGGGGCGCTGGGGCCAGCACTGGTGTCGGGGCCTCAGTAGTTCTGAGATTCGCAGCCACGCACCTTTCCCCTCCTGTCAGCTAAGCCTCCGAGCGCTGGGACTTTCTTTTCTAAAGATACTTTGAAATAAAAACAGCTTTTTCATAATTTGGGTAAGAAACCCAAAAGCATAGAGGCTACTTCTGGGCCCAACCCAACTCCCTCAATGCCCTTTTTTGGCCTTCCGCCCACAAGCATGCTGGGAACGCCATATGCAAATAATACAACACAACGCCCCGCCTCTTCTACGTTGGGGCGGTTACCAGGTCGGTTCAGTGCGCAGGCGCGGGAAAGTTGAATTTCCGAAAAGTTTGTTGAAATTGAGTGAAAGCGTGGGCGCCGGCGCAACTAGAACAGAACCCCGAACAAGGTGAGCGGGGTTCCAGGAAAGGATCAGAGCAGAAATCGAGGGGAACCAGTTGCTGGGGCGGCCACAGCCAGTCTTGTCTCTCTGCGGTCCAAGCTCCCAGGATCTCCGGTGCCAGCCAGAGGTAGTTGGAACTACATCCCCCAGCAGGCTGCTCGGCCCATAAACGGGGAAACCGGGCCAGTGAGTGCCTCAAGGCGTACTGGGATTGGTAGTACCCTAGCCTTTAAGTACCTCGATGTAGTAGTCCTAGCACTCAGTTACCTCCTCTCTCCAGACCCTTTTTCCTCGACAGAATCAACTGTCCAACTGGTTCATCCTCTGTCCTCTCCCTCAGGTGCCTCCATGGCCGGCTCTGAAGAGCTGGGGCTCCGAGAGGACACACTGAGGGTTCTGGCAGCTTTCCTTAGGCGCGGTGAAGCTGCTGTCCCTGTCCCAACTCCACCCAGGTGAGTGAGTGGCCACTCCCCCAGGGCCAGACTGGAAGGTCTTTGTGAGTACTGGTTCCCAACTGGCCCCCACCTGTCTCCTCCCTTCAGATCTGACCCCATATGCCTGACTCCAATTTCAAGAGTGATCTTCCATGGGGTTACTCTGAGATTCTTGTCCCCAGGAGCCCTGCCCAAGAGGAGCCAACAGATTTCCTAAGTCGTCTCCGAAGATGCCTCCCTTGTCCCCTGGGTAGAGGAGCCCCTCCCCCGGAGTCCTCTCGGCCCTGCTTTCTTCCCCTACGCCCCTGCTATGACTCGGGACCTGGTAAGAGATTTTTACACTGGTTACCTCTGAAACTTTAATGGCTAGGAGCTTTGGTTCTCAAAATCCAGACAGTACCTGTTAAAGGCCAGCACTGCTCAGTTTTAGACTTGTTTCTAGAGGGTAAGAGCAGTGTTGAGACATAGTCTCAGTCGCTTGAGCCTCCTGCATCAGCCTACTTCATACTGGAATCACAGGCATGCATCGTTACATAGAGCCCCAGAGACAGGGTTTCCTCTATGTAGCCCTGGCTGTTCTAGAACTCAAACCTACAGTGATCCTCCTGCCTCTGCCTCCCAAGTACAGAGATCCGCCTTTCTCTGTGTAACAGCCCTGGCTGTCCTGGAACTCAGGCCATAGACTAGGCTGACCTTAAACTCACAGAGATCCTCCTGCCTCTGCCTCCTGAGTGCCGGGATTAGAGGCCTGTGCCGGGATTAGAGGCCTGCGCCACCACCGCCTGGCTGAGCTTGGATTTCTACTGAGCAATTCTGTGGTTCACCAGGGGGAGGTGCTCTGGCACCCTTCTTAGGTAATTATCTCTTTCCTTACATAGGTGCTTCCCTGGCTCTTAGGGAAGACTATTTGTGGCACCAGTACCCCAGGGCATGAGACAGGAGGCATGGTTGTCAATCACAACTCCTTAGCCAATTGGTAATGTCAAGTAGTAGAGAAAAACTGGAAGGGGTATTAGGACTTGATCAGTGATGATCAGTAGGCCTGGCTGTGGGGCCAGTGTAAGTGTGTAATCAGCACTTGGGAGCTGAGGCAGAAGGATTGTTGTGGGCTTAAGGCCAGCCTGAATTACAGAAGCTGAGGACGTAGTCGAGTCAGTAGAGTGCCTGCCTAGCATGCATGAAGCCCTGTATGCGATTCCCATCAGCACATGAGGCATAGTAGTATATATTAGGAAGCAGAGGAAAAGGGCCTACAGGTCTTCTTCAGGCATGTGCTTGGCACACAGACACACATGTAGGCAAAACACCCATACTCATTAAATAAAAGAAAAAGGTTTGTTTTGTCTTTTTGTTTTGTTTTGTACACGGTTTCTCTGTGAAACAGTCTGACTGTCCCATGTAACAGACTTTGTTCTTAGGTCGCCAGCTACCTCCCAAATCATGACGTGGAGACATTATTATGAATGCTTGGCCTTTGCTTAAGTTCTCCTACCAGCTCTTACAGTTTCATTTAACCTGTTTCTATTCATCTATGCTTTGCCTCAGGGCTTTTTACGTTTCTTCCATTCTGTGCGCCCTGCTATCCTGCTTCCTCTGTGTCTGGCTGGCTGGCTCCTGGCGTCTCTTATTCCTTCTTCCCCTGAACTTGAGATCTTCCTCCCACTTCCTCTCCCTGCCTGGTGGACGTCCTAACCATACCACCTCCCTCACTATTGGCTGTTCTCTTTTGTTTGTTTACTGTTTGTATTTCGAGATAGGGTTTCTCTGTAACAGTCCTGGCTGTCCTGGAACCCACTTTGTTGACCAGGTTGGCCTCAAACTCACAGAAATCCTCCTGCCTCTGCCTCCCGAGTGCTGGGAGTAAAGGCATGAGCCATTGAAAGAGCATTGGATTTCATGGATCTGGAATTATAGAAAATTGGGAGACACCATGTAGGTGGTGGGAATTGACCCAGCTGCTGGGTCATTCAACCTCTGATGCATTTTTCTGGCCTTCATGGGCACCATGCACCCAAGTGGCATACAGACACATGCAGGCAGAACCCCCATATACATAAAATTAAAAAATAATTTTAATGAAGCATACTTGATAGGCGGCTTACCCAGAAGAAAAGTGTGGCTGCAGAGGTGAGTCTGCTCTGTTGCTGATCTGGGAGCTTGGCCTTAGTGGATGGAAGAACTTCCAAAGTTTAGCTCGAATATTTTCAGTGTAATTTGAGGGTGCAACAAAGTAGAAAGGCTTAGGATTTTGACATCTTTTACCAAAGTCTCTCATGGCCTAGTTTTTACCCCTTTGTGAACTGAAAATTGTTGCTGTCTAGTAAGGTGGTTTGGAGGAGAAAATTCATAAGTATATCCTGTTCTGTAGACAAAGAATTATTCTTTCAATCAGGTCCAGCTACTTCAGATTTCTATGCCATGGTTGCCCAGCGTCTAGAACAGTTGGTCCAAGAGCAACTGAGATCTCCGCCCAGCCCAGGTAAGCAGCAGAGGAGCCTGGAACAGGTGAGAGTGGGGGTGAGGCCAGGACCCCTCCTCATTCCGTTCTCTTCTTATTCCCAGAGTTCCAGGGACCCCCACCCACAGAAAAGGAAGCCCTGCTAAGGAGGCTGGTAGCCTTGCTGGAGGAGGAAGCGGAAGTCATCAACCAAAAGGTGACTGGCTATGCTCTATGCCTTTGAGAGGGCAGTGATGGGACTGGGTAGAAACAGGATTTGCATTGTCTTGGTGAACAGGTGAGGGTCCAGTGCTCAGTGAACACCAGATCATCTTTACAGGAGCTTTGGAGCTTCACCACAGTGTACCCGTGGACCAGCAGCATGCCAGGGGAATCCAGTCAACAGAAACCACTAGAGGCACTAGAGACTGGGTCACAGCAGAGCCCTTGCCTAGTAACCTGAGGTCCTTAACATTCCTCTCTATCACCCTCTCCCCCAAATCAAAACCTCAGAAACAAAGAACAACACAGAGAGCACAGCACGAGCCAGGGAAGAGAATGGCTGTGAGCGGGGGTCTGAAATTTGATTGTAGTAGGCATGGTGACACACACTTTCCTCTCAGCATGCTTCAGGGTTCTCCTGCGCCACAGAACGAGTTCCAGGGCTGCACAGGGAGACATCGTTTCAACAAAATAAGGTGGGACATGGGTGCAGGCCTTTAATCCCAGCAGTTGGGAGGCAGAGGCAAACAGAGCTCTATGACTTCAAGGCCAGCCAGGGCTGCATGGTGAAACCCTGGCTCTAAAACCAAAAAAGAACCCTGATTGACTACAGTAAGGATACAGCTCAGAATATGGAGGAAATGCCCACTGAAGTGTAGCTTCTGAGTTTCCTGGAACCTGATTGGCTTTCAGAGCTGGACAGTACTGTAACAGCGATTATCTGGTAGGAAAGAAGTTTTCCATAAATGGCTTCAACCACTCTTTTTTTTTTTTCCCCTCTCCAGGCAGGGTTTCTCTATTCCTGGCTGTCCTGGAACTCACTTGTAAATCAGGCTGGCATTGAACTTGCCTTCTAAGTGCTGGGATCAAAGGTGTGTGCCAGCACTCCAGGCTTGGCTTCAGGGACTCTTAACTAAAGGAAAACTTGTTATTTAGAACTCAGAACTCTACTTGGCTCAGAGTCTAGCTAGACCCCCTTCCTGGAAGTCCATTGGCCAAGACCATAGAGGATGATTATGTGGGACTTACTGTTTGGGCTGGTTGTGGAGGGGTGCAGTTAGCTGATGCTGCCCCTCTGCCCCTCAGCTAGCTTCTGACCCAGCTCTGCACCGGAAACTTGCTCGCCTGTCAGCGGGCTCCTTTGCCCGCCTTGTGGAACTCTTCTCCAGTCGCGAAGTCAGCTCCTCCCCAAGCTGTGCAAGCCCCTCGTTGCCTTGCCCGGCACCCCCACCGCCTTCCCCAGAGCCATTGGCCCGCCTGGCTCTGGCTATGGAGCTGAGTCGGCGCGTGGCCGGGCTGGGGGGTACCCTGGCCAACCTCAGTGTGGAACATGTACACAGCTTTGCGCCCTGGATCCAGGCCCATGGGGGCTGGGTAAGTTGCACGTCCTGCCAAGCCTCAGTTTACCCTACTGCCATTTGATGGGTGACATCTTAGGTTTCCTTCCAGAAGTCCCAGCTCCATTTACTCCATTGTGTACTCATTGAGCACTTGCTGTATGCCAGGCACTGTGCTGACTTCTGATGCCCGTCGGACTTGGGCAGCAGTTGTGAGAGGAGCTCTTACAGCTCCCTAGTCCTCTCTTCTTTTAAAAAAATTTTTTTTATGATTTATTTTCCTTTATTTTATGTGCATTGGTGTGAAGGTGTCAGACCCCCTGGAATTGGATTTTCAGACAGTTGTGAGCTGCCATGTGGGTGCTGGGAATTGAACCCGGGTCAGTCAGTCAGCCATTTCTCCAGTCCCTCCTCTCATCTTTTTAGGGTAGCTATGTAGTAGAGGATGGGATTCTTCAGGGTCTAACGGATCTCTGCTTTCTGTGTTGAGTATAAACCCAGTGAGGTCTTCCCTGGACCCTGTTTATTATTTTTTTTCCTGTTTATTATTTTATACATATAAATAGAAATAAATCTGCTTGGCATGATGCCATATGTTAGCCATGTTTAATCCTAGGACTCAGAGGCAGGCATCTCTATAAGGACAAGGCCAGCCTAGTATACATAGGGGATTTCAGACCAGCTAGGGCTATGTAGTGAGACCCTGGAGGTAAAGGTGGGGAAAATGGTACCTGGTGGTGCAGGCCTGTCATCCCTGGTACCAGAGAGGCTAAGGCAAGAACATACAGCTTTAGACATACTGGGCTAGAGAGCAGGTTCAAGGTCAGCCTAGGCACCTTAGGCTGTCTTTGAGATCCTGTCTCAAAGTTGGGACAAAGCTCAGTGGTAGAGCCCAGCTTCAGAAGGGGAAAAGTGTGGTCCACAGACACAGCTAGCCATGGGAGGCCACTTGATCATCTTGAGATGGGGGCTGTGAGAGCCAGATGTGCGTAGATCGTCCTGGCCTCATGAATAGACCTGAAGAAGCCTGGAGATGGGTGCAGGAAGGATTGTGGGGGGTCACTGGTTGGTGGGGGGGGCAGGTTCTCTCCAGACTGAAGATGCCGTTGCGAGCATCTGTAGGTTCCTCCTGCATTCCCTGGGCTCGGGGGTGCGGAGTGAGTGATGGAGGAATCCGGCCCACGCTGGAGCAGACTGGAGAGGAAGGATGCACAAGTGGCACTCGTCTAAGAAGCTGGCATACCCCTTCTTCTAACAGGGGTGCCAGGAGAACTTAGGGGAGACCAGAGACTGGGCAGGAAGGTGACAGAGTTAAAAGACAGTCCTTAGAGCGGACTGAAACCAGCACAGAATGGCTAGCCACTGAGTGACTTAAGTGGCAGGACTCTCCCTTTTCTGTCTTTCCATCTCCCTCTGTGGATATCTGATCTAGACCTCAGTCTCCCCTTCCTGTCTTTATCACGGTGGTAGTGTCAGTGAAGTCAGCTTATGGACTCTGTCCCCTGCAGGCAGGCATCCTGGCTGTGTCGCCTGTGGACCTGAACTTACCCCTGGACTGAGTGCTCCCGTGAGGCTGCTGCAGGAGTGCCCACAGGTCCTGACACCCGAATTTCCTCTCAGGGCTCAGGTGGTGGCTGCCATGCCACCTTCTTCTTTTTTTTGCCAAAAAGATTGTTTAGAAATATTTCCGTATTAAAAGCTTTGTTCTTTAACTAGAGCACTAAAGTGTTTGACTATGTGAGTTTACGAGTGTGTGTGTATACATGTGCATTTCCATGAACTGGAATACATGTGGTAGTGAGAGGTCAAGGTTGGGGTCTTTATCACACTCCATCTTCCTCTTTCTTCCTTTTGTTGTAAAGGTGGCCCTGATTTACACCAGGCATGTGGCACCATGCTGACTTTAGTGTCAGCACTCAGGACAGCCAACGCTATACAGAGAAACCCTGTCTCGAAAAAAAAAACAAAACAATTTTTATGAGTGTTTGCATGTCTGTATGCACACTACATGTGTGCGGTGCCTACAGAGGCTACAAAAGGGTTCTAACAGCGGAGTCATCTCCAAGCCCCTTTATTTCTTTTCTTACATGATTTTATTTATTTATTTTTGAGACAGGGTTTCTCTGTAGCTTTGGAGCCTGTCCTGGAACTAGCTCTTGTAGACCAGGCTGGCCTCAAACTCAGAGAGATCCACCTGCCTCTGCTTCCTGAGTTGTGTGCCACCACCGCTCGGTAAGCCCCTTTATTTCTATAGATTGGTTTTTATTTATGTGTGTGTTTGTATGTGTGTGATCACATGCAAGGAAGGTGCCAGAATAAGGCATCACATCTCCTGGAGCTAGAGTTACGTGCAGTTAGCTGCCACGTACAGGCCCCAAGAACAGAACTTGGGTCCTCTGCAAGAACAATCGCTGTTGGGGCTGGAGAGATGACTCAGAGGTTAAAAGCATTGCCTGCTCTTCCAAAGGTCCTGAGTTCAATTCTCAGCCACCACATGGTGGCTCACAACCATCTGTTAATGAGATCTGGTGCCCTCTTCTGGCCTGCTGGCACACATGCAGGCAGAACTCTGTATACATAATAAATAAATCTGAAAAAAAATCGCTGTTAATCGCTGGGCAGCTGCTCCAACTCCGCTTTACCAATTTCTGTCATTTATTATTATGCATACAATATTCTGCTAACATGTACATGCCTGAAGAGGGCACCAGATCTCATTATAAATGGTTGTAAGACACCGTGTGGTGGCTGGGATTGAACTCAGGACCTCTGGAAGAGATAATCAACGCTCGTAAGCTCTGAGGCATCTCTCCAGCCCTGCCTTACCGTTTCTAAAAAAGTATTTAAAAATTACAAGTACAGGTGTGTTTGGGGGTGGGCGGGCATAAGGATTGAGTGCAAATGACATTTGACCCCTCTGGAAGCAGAGTCAACAGGCAGCTGCCAACCACCTCACATGGAGTTGGGCTCCCAGCCAATGCTGAGCTACTTCTGTGACCCTGGTGAAGGACTTGGGAGTCCTTTCTGGCTGAGTCTTAGCCTTGTACATCCCTGAATCTCAAGAGCTTCCCCTTGTCCGCCATGTTTCAATCTGGAAGAAACAGGCACACAACCGACTTCTGGCAGTGCCCAGCTGCCTTTTTTTTTGTGTGTGTGTGTGTGTGTGTGTGTGCTATAGGCGACACGTCCTTCAGCTAAGCCAGAGGTTCTCAACCTTCCTGATGCAGTGACCCTTTTATACAGTTCCTCTTGCTGTGGTAACCCCCTCCAGCCAGAGCCATAAAATTATTTTTGTTGCTACTTCCTGACTATGATTTTGCTACCTGTTATGGATCGTAATGTAAAATTGTGGTCTTAGGTCAACGCTGTGAAAGGGCTGTTCCCCAGGAGGGGTCACGGTCCAGACTGAGAACCACTGAGGTCCATCTCCTGCCCTGACTTCTGGTAGAACTGAGGTTGCTAGAGGGAGTAGCTCAGTGGTGGAGCAGAGGTCTCATGGGTGTGTGTCAGCTGTACCTGTAAGCTGTGCAGTGAATAATGCAGCAGGCCTATGACCCCAGCACTTAGGAGATCAGGGGTTCAAGGCCATCCTCAGCTGCATAGTGTGGGCTACATGAATCCTTGCTTCAAAAACACGAAATTGGGCTGGCTAGACAATCAGTATGAAGTGTTTGTCACCCAAGCATAAAGACCTGCACGCTCCCAGCAGCCCCTGAGAGGACGGCTCCAGCTTTGCCAAGGCCTTCCTCAGCCAACACGCCCTTGATCCCAGGACTCAGGTGGCAGAGGCAGGCAGATCTCTGAGTCTGAGGCCAGCCTGGTCTACATAGTGAGTTCCAGCACTGCAAGGGCTACATACAGAAACCCTATCGCAAAAAAAAAAAAAATTAAAAAAGTGATGTTTTGTCCCCCCCCATTTTTTTGGTTTTTCGAGACAGTGTTTCTCTGTAGCCCTGACCACTCCCCTATCCTATCTGCCCTTCCGCGTCCTCACGGCAGTCTGCATTAGCAGCGATCTGAATGGGCTGCAGATTCCTGGTTTGTTAGTTATCTCTTATTAGAATGGCTGAGTATTAGGATGTCCTATATTCACTGGCTGTAGAGAAAATCCATCCCCAAAGTGGGGGCGCCATGTGAGATGGCGTGGAAGCCTGAGAGTGTCAGGAGTCCCAGGCACTTAGGACGGAACCAGGAACGCTGAAGTGAACGGAAGTGGTCCTGGGGGTGCTGTGAGGGGCTAGCAGGTAGGAACACCAAGGCTGGAGGGGAATCCTTGGGGATTGACCAAACGGTAAACTGTAGGCAGGAAAGGCCCTGGGTCTATTGAGATTTGGGACAGAGTAGCAGGACAGGTAGAAGTCAATCAAGAAATCATATTGAGCCGGGTGAAGGTAATGCACGCCTTTAATCCCAGCACTCGGGGCAGAGGCAAGCAGATCTCTGAGAGAAACCCTGTAGAAAGAAAGAAAGGAAGGAAGGAAGGAAGGAAGGAAGGAAGAAAGAAAGAAAGAAAGAGAAATCATAGTGGCTGAGAGAGGTTTTCGTACACCTTAAATCACAGCACTTGAGAGACACAGGCAAGTTCTAGGCCCAAGGCTACACAGTGAGACTGTCTAAACAAACTAGTCCTACCAGATGTCCAAAGTGTTGAGTCTGCAGCAGATGGTAAAGACCTTATCGCTAATGACTTGAGTTCAAGTCCTTCCATTTACCTGGTATAAAGAAATGACTCCTGCAAGTTTGCTTTGTGACCTCCGGAGTGTAGGAGCCAGCCCTGATAAGCTTAATAGGAACAGACCATCCAAAGGAAGTTCTTCCAACCATGACCACCTGCCAGTGGAAGACCCAGCCATGATAAGCTTAAAAGAGGCCTGAGCTAAGTCTCAGTAGTTTATCCTGGTTGCAGGAAGGACCTCAAACTGAGACCACCCAGGAACAGACCATCATTCTAAGGAAATTCCTAACGTTCCGACCGCTGTAGATAGGATCACCTACCAGCACACATTCACCAGGACACACATTCACCTAGACAAATGTCAGCCAATCAGGGGTCCTGAACCTTAGAAATTCCTTATCCCCACCTTTGCTACTATAAAAACTCAACTCTAACTGAGCTCGGGGCTCTCCGAGCACTTCAACACCTTGGACACACGGAGAGTTCGAGTTTGCAAACTTGTGTGGAATAAAGTCTCTTTGCTTTTACATACAGAACTCGGTCTCCAGGGGTACTTCGCGGATCTGGCCCCACACGCATGGACACGCACACTTAACAGAGTAATTAAATGTTAGGAGTCGGAAAGAAGCAGGTCAGATGTGTACGCATACCTCATGAGGAGGCCCGGATTTGAGGGGCTCATTTGGGAATTTAAAGGATCCTGGGCTTGGGCCAAGTATTGGTAGGACAAAAGGTAGGTGCACAAACCCAGCAATTGGCATCCATCCTCAGACAAGGAGTAATTTCCTGCAGATCCAGGGAAACTCCCTGGAGGAGGTGGCGTCCAAGTTGCCCATGATTGACGGGTAGGAGTTGGCTAGACAAAGGGTGATGGGTGTTTCCCGCGGAGGGCTAGGAGAGACCACAGGTCTTCAAAACTTGGCGCAGGCCCGGACAAGAGTGTGGCTCATCGCACTAACACTCACTACGCCTCTTGGCTGGTTTCAGGACCAGAACGCTCCGCCATCTACATCCCAGCGATTCGGGATTTCCCATAGCTGGCCCACGCGCCCTAGTTCCTCTCGAAGTCGTCCCAGCAGGAGAATCCACCGAATGATGATGCCTGACATTCCTAGGAGCCAATCGCTGCTGTCCAAGGCGCTGCCCGCTTCCTTGTGAGCCAATGACCCCTGTTGTTCTTGACCGGTCACTTGAAGGGAATGGAATAAGAACCGTGAACGTCACCTTTTGCTCAACCAATAGCAACGAGAGAGGCGGGCCATTTTAGTGATAGACAGCTCTGTTTCTCGACTTCCGCTTAGCGCGGAGCCCGCCGGGAAGTTTCGAGATGGAGCTGGCCGGAAGGAGGCGGGAAGACCTTGTTGCATGTTACCCAATCATCAGATGCATTGGTTAAGATGGACAGACAGTTGTTCCCTTCCTAGCCCACAGGAGGGGGGTGGTCCTTTGAACGCTAGGAGGGGCGGGCACTTGATATTTGATCGACGGATCTTCCACCCAATTGCAGTGTGAACGTTGCAGATGGATGGCTTTGCTGGCCAATAAAAACTTATGGCGGGGTCTCGGGGGCAGGGCTGTGGACCCTCTGCTAAAAGGCGGTCCCCGGTCGGGGGGAGAGAGAAGAAAGGGGGGGGTCTCGGAGGCCGGAGGACTTGGGTGAAGATGGCGGCAGCCGAGGCCGCGAACTGCATCATGGAGGTGAGTAGCGGGGCACTTTAGGCCTGTGAGGGGGCGGCGCGCGACGGGTTGTCCACAGCCTGAACTGTGGAGACGGGGCCTTGGGTCTGCTGGGCCTCGCGTAGGGGCGCATCGAGGGATGTGTTCGACCGTGATGGGGGTGACCCCGGCTTTCGGGGTTCCGGGACCCCGCAGCCCAGTCGAGGGCCTTCGCACGTGTCCGTGGGCCGGGGGCGCGTCCTGCCAGGCCGCACGTGGTCGCGCAGCGTAGCGTGGGGAGGGGGGTGTGCCTCTGGAGGGGCCCCGCGGGCTCCACGTGCGGGACAAAGGCCCCGCCCCCGGCCCGATGACCTGCGCTGCACCCAGGGGGTCCTGGGGGTGCCACCTGCGTCCTGCGACCCGCTCACCCAGGCTGGGCTGTGGGCGCCAGTACACCCTCGTGGGGCCTGAGAGCATCATCCTCCCTTTACCCTTGTGCGGTTGCGGGGGGATGGGCAGAGCCCTATGACCTCTCTTTGAGAGGATAGTGGGGCATCTCCGCCGATGAGATGCGGATCGTCGCCGGGCACCCCCTCGTGGTTATTATGGGCTTGTGAGAGGGGTGTCGTTTTCATGGGGCGTGGCCCAAAGCCCACCCCATCTTGGGAGCGCTCTCGGGTGGATGGTCAGAGGTCGGTCTTTGGGGCGAAGGAGTTTGGATGACTCTATAGGTACACAGGCCAAGTGTCCTTAACCCCTACCTGACATCTTAAGGGTGGGAGGGGAGCCTTTTTTTGAGGATTTCCACCTTTGCCTAATTTCCCCCCCAAAACGGAATGAGCCAGGTGGTGGTGGCGGCGCACGCCTTTAATCCCAGCACTCGGGAGGCAGAGGCAGGAGGATCTCTGTGAGTTCAAGGCCAGCCTAGTCTGTTGAGCGAGTTCCAGGACAGGCTACATAGCTACAGAGAAACCCGGTCGGGGGGGGGGGGGGGGAATGAAATTTTGGCACCTGATTGATGTTTGCTTACAGCTGAGTGTTACACTCCTGAGCTATCTCCCTCAGTCAGTTTGATGCAAAAGTCGGGCTGGCCTTGAACTTGCCACCTCCATTTCCTTAAGCCTCCTGAGTAGCTCAGGTGACAGACCTTCTCCACCAGGCCTGTTAGGCAGGTCTCAGTCTCAGGTTTCAGTCGGGTTGTTAGCCTGCTGGTATCTGGACGCCCCCCACTGGCTGTGGGGAACTGAGTGTGGTAGGTCATGGCCGCTCCAGAAGCCTTGGATAGCAGTCATTGATGGAATTTAATCTGATGGGGCCCATACCTCTTCAAGTTCTCTGAAGAGGAAGGTCAGTTGCTGGGACACCTGCCATGGGGTCAGTTGGCCTACGGAGTCACTGAAATGACCCTGGGCCTGGCACTGATAGACAGAAAAAAAAGAGAGGGCTGTTTCAGTGTGGGGACCCAGGTTGGGTGTGAAAGGAGGGTTGACCTCACCTTTCCAAAGCATGTGTTGTACCCCTGGGTGGCACCCTCTTTGGGGGCGGGGGCAGGTAAAATAGAGAGGCTGGTCTGTGTGTTCCTTGTCCAGGTGGAGTTGTGGGGGGAGTGAACCTACCTGCTGTGGTGTGGTGGTCTGCCACATTTCTCTAAGGTCAGGAGACAGGAGACCTGTTGTTGCCTGTCAGCCCCCTCCCTCCAGTTTATTCATGGCACTTCAGCCTGGTGTGTGTGTCAGGAAATGTCACCTAATCTAGGGGGGGATTAGATGGTGGATGGTGAAGGGGAGTAACAGCTGGCAGTGCCATGTGCCCTGGCAGTTATTGGGTCCTCTGGCCTAGATAGGGAGGTGTATGTGGCCAGTCACCTGACCAGAGAGGGACCACATGGGGTGGGCCACCATCTCTTCAGCCAACAGCTGGGATAGGAGACCCTTTTCCCTTTCCTCCCCACACCTAGCCCTTCCCTTCCCAACTGCAGCCTCATTGCTTGCTTCTGCTTACACCACTCCCCTGCCCAGGAAAAGCCAGCCTGCACACACTCACTGCCCCAGAGGCCCTCCCCAGCCACCCCAGTAGCTAATCCGTTTTCCCTGTTACTCTCTCCTAGAATTTTGTAGCCACCTTGGCTAATGGGATGATCCTCCAGCCGCCTCTTGAAGAAGTAAATATCCTTTTGTGAGACCCCAGTCCAGTCCACTTCCATATAAGCATACCTGATACACATCTGGCTCCCAGGAGGTCTAACCATCCTCTTGCTTCAAACCAGTTTCCTCTGCTATGTCCCCTAAACACATAGGACAGACCCCTTCCCGGCCCCGCTGGCTTCTCCAGAACCATGGCTGCTTCCTTAACTCCATCTCCAGCCCCCCTCCCCTGGCTTTCCATGTGCCTGCCCTGGCTCTGCCCTCCCTTTCCTCCCTCCCCAGCTGTGGGCTGAGCTAGAGACGGGCATAGAGCCTGGAGAGATGGTAGGCGAGGCGGCTGCTCCCTGGATGGTACTCTGGGTGGGTCCTGGAAGCAGAAACATCCTTGGGGGGAAAAGATGCTGGAGGGGGCTGTAGGTGTCCTGTTGTGATGAGGAGGCTCTGGGGAGCCCACCTGTGACGTTTTTTGCTGCTCCCCTGCTCTCAGGTTTCCTGTGGTCAAGCTGAAAGCAGTGAGAAGCCCAATGCTGAGGACATGACGTCCAAAGACTACTACTTTGACTCCTATGCCCACTTTGGCATCCATGAGGTAAGTAAAGACGTCCCTTAAGGGCTGCAAGGCTGCATGCAAGGTGAATGTAGCATGGACACTGTTACCCTTCTTCTAGTTCATTGCCTTGGAGACAGGTTAGTCAGGCCCGGGCACTGCCTGCCAGTCTTCTGGCTGGGGTGGGAGTACTGTGCCTGTCTGCCACAGACCTCAAGATGAGGTCAGGCCTTGCCGGTGTCTGGCGCCCTCTGGTGACTGGCGGTGGGACTTAGCTCATGCTACCCTAGCTTTTTCCACAACCGTTTTGATGGAGTTCAGTGCAACTGAAATGGCATTGTAAAGAATCTTCATCCTGCTGGACGCGGGTGGCGCATAACTTTAATCCCAGCACTCGGGAGGCAGAGGCAGGTGGATCTCTCTGAGTTTGAGGCCAACCTGGTCCACAGAGCTAGTTCCAGGACAGAAACTACAAAAACTACAGAGAAACCCTGTCTCAAAAAACCAAAAGAAAACAAAAAACAAAGAATTCTTGTCTTTTCCATGGGCCTTTTTTTAAAAAAAAAATGGTTCCACTGGAAATGTGGCTAAGTGGTAGAGCAGTTGTCTCGCGCATGTTGGACCCTGGCCTCCATCCCCAGCATCATAAGGGGGAAACACTGGAAAATACACATAAAGCAAAATTAAACTTTTGGGAGTGTGGGGGCGAGCCTCAGTTCTAAAGGCCTGGCTGTGCAAGCACGAGCTGCAGAGTTCAGTCCCCAAACCCACTTACAAGCCAGACACGGGGCTGGCAAGGTGGTTTAGGCACAGGGCCTAAGCTTGATCCCTGGAACTCAGACTAGGGAGGGAAGTCGTCCTGTGACCTCCACGTTCTGTATGCATAGTAAGTTTTAGGACAAGAATAGTAATGTGCTTGTATAACCTCAGCTCCAGGGCCGGGACATGCTGAGCACCAGGTGGCTGGAGCCTGAGAGGTGACGCCAAGAGTTGGCCTCTTCCTTGCATGTGCTGTGCAACCTACTTGCTGCCTCCTGTGTCTGCTCCCTATGTTTCAGCTGAGCCTGCCTTAAACTTTTGCTCCTCTTGCCTGGGTTTCCAGATAGCTAGGGTGAAGGCAATACCTTGGTGCCTTTCAGTGAATTAGACTGGCCTTGAACGCAGGACCTTCCAGCCCCAGCCTCCTGATTCATCCCTGGAGCTTGGGTGGGACTGATAAAACCTGAACAGAAGCTTGACTGAAGGGAAGGACTCTGAGGAGGAACAAGGCACTCACTGGCTTGCTCACCATCACTGTGGTGGTGACACCCAGCCCTTCTGTGTCCCTCATTCCGGTCCTGTCTTCATGTCCAGGAGATGCTGAAGGATGAGGTGCGCACCCTTACATACCGCAACTCCATGTTTCACAATCGGCACCTCTTCAAAGACAAGGTTGTGCTGGACGTGGGCTCAGGCACCGGCATCCTCTGCATGTTTGCGGCCAAGGCAGGAGCCCGCAAGGTCATTGGGGTGAGTCTCAGAAAGGGTCTGCTGGGGCTTGGGCTGGACGGTGCCTGGAGATGCTGGAAGAGCAAGGGCTGAACTCAACCCTTCTTTCTTCCTGTCTTAGATCGAATGTTCAAGCATCTCTGATTATGCTGTGAAGATTGTCAAAGCCAACAAGTTAGACCACGGTGAGAAAGAGGAAAGATGTATGAGGAGCACCGCAGCCAGTGGCTCCTTTGTGTTTGGTGGTACTGCAGGTGCCAGGGTATTGGCCCTGGTGCTTTAGGGTTTGGGGGTTTTGTTTGTTTGTTTTTTGGGGGGGGTGCCAATGCTCAGGATTAAACTTAGGACTTCCTGCATGTAAGGCGAGAACTCTGCTCCCCTACTACTTCCCTGAGCTGTCAGAGCCAGGGCCTGCCAAGAGTTCTGCCCCAGCAGTTCGTTCTGACCATGACTGACACTGCCTTCCTGAGAATCCCACACCTGCTGCCAGCGTGTCCACAGCTTCTTCCACACTGCACTGTTGGGTATGCAGGTGGCAATACACACGTCTGCAGTGGTGTACATTTTCCCCCCTCAGGGTAGGGCACCTGGCTCCTTCTATTAAAGGCCTTGTTCATATACTCAAATGTACACATCCCTTTAAACTGTCTGTTGGAGGCCTTCAGCTTGCCTTAGACGGTACCCTCTGTCACATGTCAATTCACACCCAATCGGGTTTTGATATGAGGCAGGGTCTCACTATGTAGATCAGGCTGTCCTTGAATTTACAGAGATTCCCCGCTTGCTTCTGCCTCCCACATGTTGGGATTAAAGGTGTGTGGTGTGCCACCGCCAACCAGCTACAAAAGTACCTGTCAAAGCAGGCACTGTCACCCAGATCCCAAAAGGCTGCATCTACCCACACCTGTCTCTTTGCCTTGGAATAGACTGAAACAAAATTCCCATGGAATGTCACACACTAGTAAGACGAGCTCTGCCCTGTACTCTCTCCCTCTCAGTACTAGGGCTAGCAGAGGCCCTCCTGCTGAGCCACACTGCCGGCCTTCTGTGTATTCTGAGGCAGGGTCTCTTACTGTAATCTAAGCAGGCTTTGAGCTTTCAGGCCTCTGCCATCAGGCCTGGCTAGCTGTATAGTTGGGTTTGTCTGTTCTTAGCACTTTATTTATGAGGGGTGTGCCGCAAAGCATAGGTGGAGGCCAGAAGACAATTAGTGGGCGTCTCTTCTCTCCTTCTACTCTGTGGGTCTTGGGGTGGAATTCAGACCCCCCAGATTGGTGGCAAGCACCCTAAACTTAGTCATCTCACTGACCCTTGTTTTAATATGAGACCATATCATTACTTACTGCTTTAAATCTACTGAATAGGAAACTATATCTGCTCTGAGGATGGCTAGTGGTGGAAGCCCAGACCTGGAGAATGTTAAACCTGGGCTCTTAGGCGAGCTGCTCCCAACATGAAGCTGCTGCTGCAGCTCTGTGGCTTGGTTTGTTTTGTTTTGTTTTAAGACAAGGTTTCTCTGTGTAGCTCTGGCTGTTCTGGAACTATCTATTGTAGACCAGGCTGGCCTCGAACTCACAGAGATCCGCCTGCCTCCTGAGTGCTGGAATTAAAGGCGTGTGCGACCACTGCCCAGCTGAGCTGTGTCTAGTTTTATAGCACTGGGGAGGCTGAGGCAGGCAGATCTCTGGGTTTGAGGCCAGCTTGGTCTATATAGCGAGTTCCAGGCCAGCCAGAGCTACACTGTGAGACCCTATTGAGAGAGAGAGGTGGAGATGCTGTTTGACCAACATTCTGTGGGGGGGTGTCTGGAACCAGACGGGCAAGCCCTCACTCTGACTGCCATGCCATTCCTGTGGCTGCAGTGGTGACCATCATCAAGGGCAAGGTGGAGGAGGTGGAGCTGCCCGTGGAGAAAGTGGACATCATCATCAGCGAGTGGATGGGTTACTGTCTCTTCTACGAGTCCATGCTCAACACCGTGCTGCATGCCCGTGACAAGTGGCTGGTGAGGCAGGGGAGTCCCCACAAGGCTGCATGTGTGCTGGGGATATAGTGGGCACCCCAGGTGAAGAAGCCAGAGTAGCGAATGTGCCATCAACTGCTCAGGTGGAGCATAGCTTTCTGAGGGGAGGAGTGGAGAGGAGCTAGCCTCAAGAAGGCCAGTGTAGAGCCCTTGTATCAGAAGTGTGTCTTTGTGTGGCAGCAGCGGGGAGGTGCCAGGGCAGTGAGGGTCAGGAGGACTCTGTACAGTTGGGGGGGGTAGCTTTTCTTCTGGTGTGTTTCCAGGATCCTAAAGACTTTAGGACAACCTGGGGACCAGGTGCAAAGATGAGGGTGAGCCATAAATGGACGGTGACAGCCAGGGAGCATAGTGGGATGGACAGCTGGGTCTGCTCAGTGGCAGTCAGCTCTTGTTCTCACCCAACTCTTCCCTCAGGCACCTGATGGCCTCATCTTCCCAGACCGGGCCACCCTTTATGTGACAGCCATTGAAGACCGACAGTACAAAGACTACAAGATCCACTGTGAGCTGGGGCTGTGGGGGTTAGTGGGAGGGTGGGTAGTGGATACATGACCAGGGTTCCGCAGCTCATTTGACCCTATCTGTACCTAGGGTGGGAGAATGTATATGGTTTCGATATGTCCTGCATCAAAGACGTGGCCATCAAGGAGCCCTTGGTGGATGTGGTGGACCCGAAGCAGCTGGTCACTAATGCCTGCCTCATAAAGGTAACTCCCAGCAGTAAGGGTTCCAGGTCCCTGGCCTATCGGAGGCTTAGGGAAGACAGTTTGGCCCACACATTTGAGTTGTGAGGGCATGCCTGGTTGTAGTCCAGGCTAGAAGGACAAAGCAGGTAGAATGCACTGAAGCAGAGCCAGCCCCAGACAGGCAATGCTGGAAGCAGGCTGAGATGTGAGGTAGCTCCTGCGGAGCTCTGAGCCCCCTGAGACAGCTTTGGCAGCAGAGCCAGTGACAGTGCTGCCCTGCAGGTGGCTCGGCTGGTGTGTCCTGCGGAGCTTGTGATGGTTGTGTTGCATGCCTGTGATCTGAGGATCAAGAGTTGGGACTGGAAAGATGTGTATTTTGTTTCGTCTGTGGGTATGTGTGCCTCTTGTCTGGATGTTAGAAGAGAACATCAGACCTGGAACTGGAGTTAGAGATAATTGGGAGCTGCCAAGTATTTGCTTCCACGTCCTGAATGAGCAGCCAGCAGTGTTCTTAACCACCGAGCCCTCTCTCTAGCACCCTAAATAAAATCTTTCAATTTTTTTTTTTTTTTAAGAATCTGTGGGCTTTATTTCAGAAGTGGGGTGGGGTTTGCTGGGCACTGATATTTGCTATGATGGGGAGGGACCTTACAGGCAGCAGTTCTCAGGTGGGGGATGGGTTCTGAGCACTGGGCTTGCCCGTTCTGCAGGAAGTGGACATTTATACAGTCAAGGTAGAGGACCTGACCTTCACCTCCCCCTTCTGCCTACAAGTGAAGAGGAATGACTACGTGCATGCCTTGGTAGCTTACTTCAACATCGAGTTCACCCGATGCCACAAGAGGACCGGCTTTTCTACCAGTGAGGGCCATGTGGGCCTGGGCCGGGCTGGGAAGGATGGCACTGAAGTCTGTGGGCCGGGGTTGTCAGAGCTGTTTGGGAACAGACGGAACGCTGTCAGCGAGGGCTGGGCATGGCTCAGTGGTAAAATGCTGTGCTGCTCTGGCCCTGGCCTCCACCGCTAATCCTTGGAAGAACAGGGTGCGTGGGGCACTGAGAACCTCCTGAAGCCTGGCTCTGCTGCCAGTGGTTGAGTGACTGAGTTTGATCCTAGTGTAGCTCTGTAAGCACAGGCAGGATGCAGGGGACAGCAGCCTTCACAGCCTCGCTGGGCACAGGCGCTAACATGTAGTCCCAGGGGCTAACATGGGCTACACGCAGCAAAGGCTGGTATTGATCATGCCCACCTTTCAGGTCCTGAGTCCCCATACACACACTGGAAGCAGACTGTGTTCTACATGGAGGATTACCTAACAGTGAAGACTGGCGAGGAGATCTTTGGCACCATTGGCATGAGGCCCAACGCCAAAAACAATGTGAGGCTTGGAGGAGTGGGAAATGATGTGTAGGCTGTGCAGAAAGGGTCTGAGCAGGGTTGAGCAGTGTCAGCTTGGGTGGCATGGGGCACCTTAGGAAGCCCCAGCATGGCAACTGGGGTCAATGATGATCCTTGCTCAATGCCCTTCCACAGGGATGGAGCCACTGCAGTCACCTGACTCCCTGTGCAGGTTAAAGTGGCGAACACCAGGGAGCATGGGGAAGTTGCAGGGCACTGGAGCAGTGGTGGGACTCTAGTATAAAGGAGCACTTGTTGGTGCTAGGTAGTATCCATCCAAACTGGCTGGGAAACGGTGGGGTCACTGAGGCAGGGTGCAGGGTGTGGACTACTTCAGCCTTGGCCTGATACCACACCTAAGCTCTGTCTTCCACCTTTCCCCTTCAGCGCGACTTGGACTTTACCATCGACCTGGACTTCAAGGGCCAGCTGTGTGAGCTCTCTTGCTCCACCGACTACCGGATGCGCTGAGGCGGCGCCAGGCTGGCCCTCCTGCAGAAGGGGGCTTAGGGACTGGGCTTGGGGGATGGGAGGGTACATCGTGACTGTGTTTTTCATAACTTATGTTTTTATATGGTTGCGTTTACGCCAATAAATCCTCAGCTGACCGATCTACTTCTTACCCTGGGGTTGGGGTGGCTGGGTAGCTTGTCACTTCCTGGGGAACTTGGTTGTACCTTGGGATAGGATTCTGGGCTATACCCAGTCCCTGGATTCCCATGACCTCTTCCTTCTACCTGTCCAGGACCATGTAAGGACAGGCCCAGCCTTCAGCCTCCCTTCCTATAGTGGCACCTGACATTCATCTCTTTAGCTAAGGTTGAAGGCAGGAGAGCTGGGTCTATTTGAACCTTCCCCTGGCTTCTAGTCATGCTGGATTGTGGTTTGGAAGTTATATCTATCTGCCTCTACACCAGAGCCTGTCCTGTGTCCTGCCCTTCCTGTGCTGTTTCTAAGTGAGCTGGCTCACCCTTACGTTCTGATCCACTGGTGTTTGTGGAAGTTGGGTCAACCTGGGTTGGAAACAGGCAGGAACTGAATTTGGATCCTATGTGTTATGGCCAAATGGGGCTGGGTAACTAAAGCCAAAGCTCACTTAGCAGGCATGGGCTCAAGAATGCCCTTGGGAGAGAGAGAACTTAGTACTGGCTCTTCAGCTGTACCTGGATCCTGCTACTGAATCACTGGAGCTCCTCTGGGTTGGCCCTGCCTCTGAGGAATACTAGGAAAAATGAGAGCCTTAGAACCTCCGCCGCTCCCCACCATCTAGGGCAAAGAGACTTGGGCAGCTCCCTTTTGGCTGGGTGACAGTGGGCTTGTCTGTCTTGGGGTAGACCTAAGGAACTACCGGCTCCATCGTGGACAAAGTATGAACGTGCAGAGTGGAATAAAGCCAGACTTCATTATGCTCACCTCGTGCCTGCCATCCCTCTGTGTGCCTTGAATCTAGTCCCCAGTCCCAGCCCAGTCGTGTTCTTCCATGTCTCTCAGTCCCAACACCTACCTGCCTTGGATAGTTCTGGTGGGTCAAACAAAAAGCCAAGACAGTCGCCTTGAAGTGAGGGGGTTGGGTGCTGCGACTCCAAGGGGGCGGGGACAGGACGCGGAGGGATTGGAAAGGGGCAGGGATAGAACGCGGAGGGATCAGAGGGGGCGGGGATAAAATCCGGGTCCTGAACACCAAGTTAGGTGCACACAAGGTGGATCTGGGCTTTAAGGTGACATCCGAAACCGGCTTATCAGGTCGTGGACTCATTACACGGGGACTGGATATATACACAAGGGAGCCTGGGGGAAGGAAGTGTCCATGGGATTGAACCCAGGAACCGCTGCTGCTGGCCCCTGAACAGCGTAAGTACCGGGCCGGATACGGATACAAGAGGGGCTATGGACCTTGCATTGGGATAGGCGAGTGGGGCTCTCCATCACTTGTACTGGACTCCCCTTTAACTCATCACCGGCATCCTTCCCTGCCGAGCATGCGCAATAGGATGCTTCCGCTCTCATCCCTGTCCAGGTCCCATAGTGGAAGGACCCCTCATGCGTCTGCCTTGCGATGGGAAAGAGCAGTGCCACCATTGACAGATGTTCATTTCCTATGGGTCCAAAAACTAGTGTTTTGTATGAAGCCCCACAACTAATCCTGGATCAGTTTTTCTCCCCCATCCCAAATACTGAGCACTGAATTCTCAGCAGACAGCTTGCTCTCCCGCCGCTCTACATTCACAGATCCCGAGGGGCTAGGCCTGCCTTCAAACCCTCTAACTCTCCAGCTGGGAACTGCAACAGCCCTCAGGTGCTTAGGCGGACTGAGTAGGCCTGAGGTCCTGCTGTGGGGAGGAAGGGATGGGGTCTGAGAGCGGGGGAGCCGTCTGAAGGAGAGCTGGGGTCCTGACGCCCCCTCCCAAAGTCTGTACCCCTGGGTCTAAGGGAGGAGGCACTGAGATCTTGGAGAATGACTCCACCTTCCTCCTAGGGATCCCAGGGAACATGGCTGAGGCACAACAGGCCTCTAGCTTGCTGTCTGCACTGAGCTCTGATGGGGCAGAAGTAGAGCTCACTTCCCCGGTGTGGCAGGAGATTTACCTCTCAGGCCTGCGCTCCTGGAAAAGGCATCTCTGGCGTGTCTGGGTGAGGAGGGGATCCAGGTGCCTGCTTCTGGGGTGCCCGAAGCCCACTGCTGAAGATTGGGATGTCCAGTCCGGGCCACTATTGGCTATTTCTACGCCTTCATGTAGGATGCTCTGTCCTACCCACTGGCCTACCCTGCTCAGCTCTTGACTCGCTTCACTCACCGCTGCTACCCTCCCCACACACTTCTCCCCCAACTTCTACAACTCAAGTCTCTTTAGCTTGGTTTATTTATTTAGAACACAAACCAGTTTGAATGATGCCCTCAGTCCCTTAGTGGTGAATTCCAGGAAGGTGCCCTACCACCGAGCCACCACCACCGCCCCCACTTACCCCACCTCGCTCCTTATAGTGAATTGATTCTAGGAAGAGGCCCAAGCCCGGCCTCCTTACGAGGGGAAAGGCAAAGGTGCTACCACTGAGCCACGCCCCCAGCTCCTTACAGATATATTCAGGATATATTCAATAACGGGGATCCTGAGCTCCAACCACATCCAGGTCCCAATAAGCCACTGAGAGAGATACAGCGCATGTCCTCTGTATGAACGTATGACTGCTGGTGTCTTTTCTCACCACAGAACGACTTTCTTACTGGTGTGCTCCCTGCAAGCCCCCTCAGTTGGCTCTTCCTCTTCAGTGCAATCCAGCTTGCTTGGTTCCTCCAGCTGGATCCTTCCCTAGGACTGATGGAGAAGATTAAAGAGTTGCTTCCAGACTGGTAAGGACCTTCCTCTTCACCCGAGTCACGGCCCTAACCCCCCACCAAGAAACTCCGCATGCTTTGCCTGTCAAAGAAATATAATTTCTTGGTGGGTGGGAGAGCAGGAAGAGAGGAGAGAGGGAAAACTGTGGTTGGTATGTAAAATGAATGTACACACACACATATATATATATATATATATACATATATATATATTATATATAATTTCTGGAAGCCAAGATTGGTGGTGTACATCTTTAATCCCAGTACTTGGAAGGCAGAGATGGGCAGATCTCTGTGAGTTTGAGGGCAGCCAGGTCTACAAAGTGAGTTCCAGGATAGCCAGAGCTGTTACACAGAGAAACTTGTTTCAGAAAACAAAAAACCCAAACAAACGAAAAAGAAATGTAATTTCTGGAACTTTCTTTATGTCTGTTAATGTACAGCCAAAAAAAGGGGGGGGCTCTTTCTCTTTCACTTTAACCTTTATTTATCTATTTTGGTTTTTTTGAGACAGGGTCTTTCTATGTTGAGACCTTTCTCTATATAGAGGCTCTCTGTAGACCAGGCTAGCCTTAGAACTCAGAGATTCTCTTGCCTTTGCCTCCCAAGTACTGGGATTAAAGGCATGCGCCACCACTGCCCAGCTGTGTTGGGACTCTATTTTTATTTATTATTATTTATTTATTTACTTTGGTTTATTGAGACAGGGCTTCTCTGTAGCTCTGGAGCCTATCCTGGAACTAACTCTTATGACCAGGCTGACCTCGAACTCACAGAGATCTGTCTGCCTCTGCCTCCCTAGTGTTGGGATTAAAGGCGTGTGCCACCACTGCTAGCCTGGCTCTGTGCTGGGACTCTTAAACAGCTTACTTATATGTGTGTTTTGACTGCATGTATGTCTGTGTACATGTTTACAGTGCCAGAGGAAGCCAAAGAAGGTATTGGATCCCCAAAGCCAGAGTCAAATGGTTTTGAGCTGAGAATCTAACCTATGTCTTCTGCAAGTGTTCTTAACCACCAAGCCATCTATCTCTTCAGCCTGGTTTAGTTTTTTTTTTCAGTTGTTCTTGTTTTTGATGTAGCCCTAGATGTCCTGTAACTAGCTCTGTAGACCAGGCTGGGCTCAAACTCCCAAGACCTGAGAATGCCACCACATCAAGCTTGCTGTCTCCTATCACAGTCAGGGAACAGAGGAGGTGGCGCAGGTCTTCCTTGGGAAAAGGATGCAGATTTTCTAAAGAAAGCAGAGCCCAGATTAGACACAGAAATCCCTAGAAAGGGCATATTCACGACCCAGTCCAGAGACGATGCATCCTGAGTGTTCCAGATGAGCACACCATCCTAACTGAAGGGAATGCTGTGGATGAGCTGCACTAACATGCCCAAATCCTTTTTGGTTTGCTTGTTTGTTTTGTATTTTAAGACAGTTTCTTCGTAAAGCCCTGACTGTCCTACAGATAACTCTGTAGACCAGGCGGCCTCAAACTCAGATCCGCCTGCCTCTGCCTCCTGGGTGCTAGGATTAAAGGCGTGCGCCACCACCATCCAGCTTTTATTTTCTTTTCTAAGATGGGGTGTGTATCATTCTGTAGCTCAGTCTGTCCTGGAACTCCCAGAAATCCTCCTGCCTTGGCCTCCTAGGTGCCAGATTAAAGTATTCCTGGCTGAAACTCATGACTTCCTTTGAAAACTGACTCTATGGATTTCTCTGTGGCAGGGTCTCACACTGACTAGGTTGTCCTGGATGTCACTGTGTAGCTGAGGATCTGCTTTAGCTCACCCCGCTTCTCCAGTGCTGAGATTTTAGCATGTGCCCCCACCCCAGGGCATCTGCCTGCTAGGCAAGCACTCTATTATTATGGGCTATCCCTGACCCCAGGAAAGTGATTTTGAGAAGCTTGGTGCCTCCATAAGGCCAGTCATGGGCGGCAGAGGAACACACCCACTTTATGAAGTAAATAAGTGTCTGTCAAGTGTGATTGTCCCCACCCCCATCCTGAAGCTCCAGTCTACTGCACAGCTTCAAGGGCACCCTTTATTTTTTTTCTCTCCTAGGGGTGGACAGCACTATCAGCTCCAAGGGCTTCTGGCAGCAGCGCTGTTTGCCTCGTGTCTGTGGGGAGCCCTGATCTTCACACTTCATGTGGCTCTGAGGTTGCTTCTGTCTCACCATGGCTGGCTCCTGGAACCTTATGGCACCATGTCCTCACCCACGAAGACCTGGCTGGTATGTGAGAGGCTCCAACTCCCACAATATACGCTGCGGTCCCTCTTGGTCTTTGTCTCCCAGTGGCTTTCCTCTCACTAGCTCCCCCTCTGCACACCACCTGTGTCCTCTTGGTCCACAAAATCTCCCTTCTCCCTCCCTCTATCATCTCTGTCCTCTCAACCCGTTCTTCACTGTCTCTACCTCTCCCTTCATTATTCCATCCTCCCGTCTCACTCCCCTATCCATAATCTTGTCCTCCCTCATTCTTCTCCATCATCTCCATTTGCCCTCCTTCATCTCCGTCGTCTCTGCTGCACCATCTCTTTCTTCCATCCTTACCCTTCCATCTCCTTCCTCCCTCTCCCCACATCATCTTCGTTCCCCCCTTCTCCCTCCTCCAACCCAGTTCTCTCCTCTGTTTGGCAGGCACTGGTCCGAATCTTCTCCGGGAGGCACCCAAGGCTGTTTAGCTTCCAAAGGGCCCTCCCGCGGCAACCAGTGCCCACAGCGCAGGACTCCGTGCGCAAGGTGGGCGTGTCCCGGAGCGGGGTGGTCCCGGGAGACTAGCAGGAGTTCTGATGGACGTTCGTTCGTTCGGCTCCACTTTTGCATGCAGTACCTGGAGTCGGTTCGCCCGGTGCTTGGAGACGACGCCTTTGACCGCGCTGCTGCTCTGGCAAGCGACTTCCTGAGGCTGCAGGCGCCACGACTGCAGCGCTATCTGCGCCTCAAGTCCTGGTGTGCTTCCAACTACGTGAGTTCAGGGGGCCCCAGCCCTGCCCTAGCCATGCCCCTGCCACGATTGGCCTATCCAAGCCCTGGATTTGCTGGATAATGGAACTTCAGTAAGTTCCTTGCTCAGGAGTCCCGCCCCTTGCGCAGTCCTTAAGCCCCACCTAAGCTCAGCTTTCCGCCCCTCCCCCCGCCCCCCAAGACAGGAGACCGGGTTTCTCTGTGTAGCCCTGGCTGTCCTGGAACTAGCTCTGTAGACTTGACTGGCTTTGAACTCAGAGATCCGCCTGCCTCTGCTCCCAAATGCTGAGCTTAAAGACGTGTCCCAGATACTGGAATTACTTCAAGAGCTTCCGTCCCACCGCTTGTGTTAGCACCAAAATTTCCACATGACCCTGTCTAGCGCTTCCAGGTCTAGGACAGCTTCCTAGACGGGTGGTGAGCTAGTGTGGGAGCTCGGCCCTTGGCTGCACTTTGAGTTAAGCTGGGAAACCAAGACAGTCTTGTCTTCTGTAGAAAAGTGGAGCCAGGTGACAGGCAGAGAGGTGAGTGTGAGAAGTGGTGAGGAACGATGGGGCTCTAAATACCTCAGAGGCAGGCGAAGAGCCTGCCTGGGAACTGAACCTGTCTGGTTAGCCTTAGGGACTTAGGGCAGACACCAGCGAGGGCTGAAAGGGGGCCTCACTTTGGTTGGATGCAAGGATGGGAAGTCTAGAGTGATAGGCTCACTCAGGAAGGGACTAGGGAGTCCTGGGAAAATTTGGACCTCCAAGACAGGGTGTGTCAGAGGCCTAGAGATGGAAGGTTGAGGGGACACTGAAAGGGACAGCTCACAGACACTTTAGTTAATCTAAGCATTGGGCACATGCTTTTAATCTCAACACTAGGGAGAAGAGGCAGGAGGATATCTGTGAGTGTGAAACCATCAGTGCAGGAGGAAGGAGGGTCTGGGGCAGAGTCACACTGGGGGATGAGGGTGTCCTGAACCCTTTGCAGGGCTGCAGAGCGCCGGGGCTGCAGAGCACCGGGGCTGCAGAGCGCCACCTCAGTATTACTGGCACCCTTCCTTCCTGCTCCTAGCCAGCTCTCAAGACAAGGTTTCTCTCTCTCTCTCTCTCTCTCTCCCTCCCTCTCTCTCTCTCTCTCTCTCTCTCTCTCTCTCTCTCTGTTTGTTTATCAAGACAGGGTTTTGCTGTAATTTTAGAGCCTGTCCTGGAACTAGCTCTTGGAGACCAGGCTGGCCTCGAACTCACAGAGATCCACCTGCCTCTGCCTCCCGAGTGCTGGGATTAAAGACGTACACCACCACTGCCCGGCTCAAGACAAGGTTTCTCTATTGTAACAATCCTGGCTGTCCTGGACCTCTCTTTGTAGACCAGACTGGCCTTGAACTCACAGAGATCAACTAGCCACTGCCCCTCAAGTGCTAGGATTAGAGGCATGCATCACCATGCCTGGCTAATTTTTTGTTTTTATGTGTATGAGTGTGTGCATGTTTGTATGTGTGGGTGTGCTGCATATATGCAGTACCTATGGAGGTCAGAAAATGGTGGCAGATACCCTGGAGCTGGAGTTATGTGCAGTTGTGAGCTACCAGGTAGGTACGAGGAACCAAACCCAGGTTCTCTTCAAGAGCAGCTGAGCCATCTCCCCAGCTCCATCTTGGTCATTGAAACAGCCTCCATCTCTGAGATGTAGGGCCTGCTGATTGGGCTGGTTGTGTGACTAGCGGCCCCAGCAATGTCTCTGCCTCTACAGCGCTGAGATTACAAGTGTGAAGCACTCCACCTGGCCTTTATGTGTGCCCCGAGTTGTTAACTCAGGCTCCTACGCTTGCAAGGCAAGCACTTACCACCTGAGTTACTGCCACAGTTTCCTTGTTCTGTTTAATGGTTACTAACACTCCATCATTAACTAGTCCTTCATTGTTTAATGGTTACTAACACTCCACCATTAACTAGTCCTTCACCTGTTTAATGGTTACTAACACTCCATCGCTAACTAATCCTTCATCTGTTTAATGGTTACTAACACTCCATCGTTAACTAGTCCTTCATCTGTGGACGTATAAGTTATTGCTAGTTGCTGATCATACCCAATTGTTCTACTGAGATCCTTTCTGCCCCTGTGACACAGGGAAGTCTGTGGCCTCCCTGGTGACACCATCCTCCCCCACAAGGTCTCAGCCGGCACAGCTGAGCATCTCTGATTCTCCTCCTAGGTGAGTGACTGGTGGGAGGAGTTTGTGTACCTGCGCTCCCGAGGCTCGCTGTTGGTCAGCAGCAACTATTACATGATGGTGAGAAGGGAGGCCCCTGTGGGAGGCAGGGGCCTTTTGGCCTTGGTGGCCCTGGTAGAAGTCCAGAACACTGGAGCCGCTAGCCCATCTGCTTTGGCTGTCAGGGGCCCTATCGGACAAGCATGGTCTCAATGTATTTTGTGTCCCCTCCCCTTGCCACCAAGCAGGATTTCCTGTATGTCACGCCCACACCGCTGCAGGCTGCCCGGGCAGGCAATGCTGCCCATGCCCTGCTCCTGTACCGCCACCTTCTGAACCAGCAGGAGATTCCACCGGTAAGGCAGATCTCTTGGATTGGGGCTGGAGGTGCTGGGAGCACACAGGGCCCGGCTCAGGAGCCCTTGGCCTCCTGCAGACACTGCTGATGGGAATGCGGCCCTTGTGTTCTGCCCAGTTCGAGAGGATATTCAACACCACACGGGTGCCAGGGCTGGAAAAAGGTGAGGACGCTCCCCCACCCAGTCCTTGTCCCTTCCTGCCACAATGGCTGTGGCTGCGAGAAGATGTTAGCCGCCGGCCTGTTTGGGTCTCTGTCCTGATTGTAATGCTTTCTCCATGGCTTCAGGCAAATCATTGTCCTCTCTGAACCTTAGTTTCTTCAACTGTGAAATGGAATAATAATGACCTGTGGTGGTACAAATTTAAAAATAGCTTAATGTGGGACAAGCCAGAAAATTTCTCATTAGAGTTTTTAAATTTTATTTTTTCAATTTTTAAAAATGGAAAAATTACATCATTGCCCTCTTCACTTTCCTTCCTCCAACCCCTCCCATACCCCCTACCCATACCCTCTCAAACTCCTGACATTTGGTTAGTTTCTTTTGTTATTGTTGTTTGGTGTTTCAAGACAGAGTTTCTCTATGTAATAGCCCTGGCTGTCCTGGAACTTGCTCTGTAGATCAGGCTGGCCTCAGACTTAGCGATCTGTCTGCGTCGCCTCCTGAGTGTGGCTCCAGCTGGACTTTCTTTTGTCTTTTTTAAGATATATTTATTTGTTATGTGTACTGTGTTCTGCCCGTACGCCAGAAAAGGGCACCAGATCTCACAACAGATTGTTGTGAGTCACCATGTGGGTACTGGGAATTGAACTCAGGACCTCTGGAAAAGCAGCCCGTGCTCTTAACCTCTGAGCCCTCTCTCCAGCCCTGAACCTTGTGTTTTAATTATATTTTATGTGTATGAGTGCTGTGCATGCATGTATGTCTGTGCACCATGTGTGTGCAGTGCCTGTTAAGACCAGAAGAGGGCATCAGATCGGGGACTAGAGTCACAATGTTTATGAGCAGCTCTCTGGATGCTGGGTCCTCTGAACACACAGAAAGAGTTCGTAACCGCTGAGCTGTCTCTCTAGGCCCTTAGCAGACTTCCTGCCTAGCATGTGGGAGGTCCTTGGTTCCATTCCAAACACCAAGTAAATGAGATGTGGTGGCATACACCTGTCACCCCTGCACTAGGAAGGTGGGGGCATGAGGAGCAAGAGTCATGGTCATCCTCTGCTACATTTCAAATTTGAGTCTAACCTGGGCTACGCTCAGGCTATGGAATGGTCAGAAATGACAAAGGAAAGGGGCAGAGCACATGATTAGTCAGTGGTGTGGTTCTTATGATGTAGGTTCTTCCCACCCTCATATTCTGCCCATACTTCTCCAGACTACCTCCGTCATGTCCAGGACAGCCGACATGTGGCTGTCTTCCACCGGGGCCGATTCTTCCGTGTCGGGACCCACTTTTCCAATGACCTGCTGTCCCCACGGGCTCTAGAGCAACAGTTCCAGCAAATCCTAGATGACCCATCCCCGGCTTGTCCCCTTGAGGAACATCTAGCAGCTCTGACTGCTGCTCCCAGGTAAGAGTCAGTGGCCTGGGTTACAGGGGTGCGCTGGGCTCTGGGGAGCAGGCTGGTGGCCTGGGTTACAGGGGTGCGCTGGGCTCCGGGGAGCAGGCTGGTGGCCTGAGTTACAGGGGTGCGCTGGGCTCCCGGGAGCAGGCTGGTGGCCTGGGTTACAGGGGTGCGCTGGGCTCCGGGGAGCAGGCTGGGCAAGGGAGAGTGCCAGTTGGGCTCAGGCCCATCCCACTTGGACAGGAGTATGTGGGCCCAGGCTCGAGAGTCAGTGAAGACTCATGCTGCCACTGCCCTGGAGGCCGTGGAAGGGGCCGCCTTCTTCGTGTCCCTTGATCCTGAGCCCGCGGGACTGACCAGGGAGGATCCGGCAGCTTCCCTGGACGCCTACGCTCATGCTTTGCTGGCCGGCCGGGGAGATGACCGGTAAGTCTATCCCTCTACCAACCCTCCCACACTCCAGTGGAGATAGCCAGACTCCACACCTCAGCAGCTAGACCCAGGGTCCACTCACATCTGACAACCCAAACTCAGTTCAGTAGAACAAGGAGACTTCTAACCCAGAGAACCCATCTGCTCAGGACCCCAGACTCCTTTGTTTGTTTTTGTGTTTTTGACAAAGCATTTCTTTGTGTAACCCTGGCTGTCCTGGAACTAGTTATATAGACCAGGCTGGCCTCAAACTCACAGAGGTTCGCCTGCCTCTGCCTCCCGAGTGCTGGGATTAAAGGCATGTGCCACCACTGCCCGGATTAAGACCCAGACTCTATATCTTAATGGCTCATTTGTGTCACTGAGCACAGCTGTGTAACACACCGTAGCCTGGGGACAGCATAGTACTGGTCAAGATCAACTTCTCCATTGAGTGTGGTCCCATGATGGAGGATTATTTAACCATAAAGTAGACCCAAGATTGTGGGTCTTTTCCTAACACTTCCAATGCCTCAAAGAGAGCCTAGGAAAACAAACAAACAAACAAACAAAAATTCCTAAATTTTATATCTATGTGGAGACTATCTGGAATCACCTCTAGAAATGGAAGCACGTCTAGAGGCCCCCAGAGCTGCCACCCCTTCTGATTTCCCTGCTCACTTCACCCTGAAGCGCACCCCACTAAAAGTCCTACAGGTACCCACATTCTCCTCCCAGCCCTGGCTCTTAATGGCCCTTCCAAACTTCTTTCTGCAGGTGGTTTGACAAATCCTTCACCCTCATCGTCTTCTCCAATGGGAAGCTGGGTCTCAGCGTGGAACACTCCTGGGCTGACTGCCCTGTCTCAGGACATATGTGGGAGGTGCGTGTCTAAGGCTGGGTACCGTATTCAAAGACTAACCCTGAAGGACCTTAGACTGGAGACATAGGTTCAGAGACAGGCAGGGAAAAGCCTAGAAAAGAAGTGGGTCTACCATGTTGACCTGCCTGGGTCACTGGGGCTCAGAGAAGGGAACTGAACTTCCAGAGTCAAGAAGGCAGAGTGACAGTGTTAACCTACAGCCTGTGACATGCGCCCACCCATGCACATGCACAGACAGACCTCACACAATCATGGGATGTTGTAGCACACATCTGTAATCCAAATACTTGGAAAACAGGAGGCTTTTTATTCTAAGCCAGTCTGGGCTACCGGGTGAGACCATGTTGCAGAATGAAGCAAAGCTGGCTTTGGGCTCAGCTGGTCCATTGCTCCTGAAGCCCTGGATTCCACGGCAGCTGCATATAACATGGCTGTTGTGGTGTGGCCTGCCATTCCAGCACATAGGAGCTGGAGGCAGGAGGATCATAGTTCAGGATCACCCTCAGCCACACAATAAATTCAAGACCAGCCTAGGCTACATTAGACTCTGTTTCAAAATGAAACAAAAATGGGTCCTCTGATTCCCCATCTTTATAAGACAGCTGAGAGAGATAGAAGCGTGTACCCAGAAGGTGGAGCAGCAGACACTCATCAGTGCAAACTTAAAACATCCCACAACCCTGCTTACAGAAACCCTCGCTCTGCCAGGCCTCTCCCGCCAGTGAGGGGTGACTGACAGTTTTATCCACAGTTTACCCTGGCCACAGATTGCTTCCAGTTGGGGTACGCAGCAGATGGCCACTGTAAGGGGCAGCCTGACCCCACTCTGCCGCAGCCCCAGCGCCTGCAGTGGGACCTCCCAGAGCAGGTGAAGCTGGGCTCTCGTCTCCCCTCTAAGTCCCTTGTCTTTGTCCTGAACTCATCCACACCTCACTGCCCCAACCTTCGGATCATGCCAGACATATCCACCATCTTGAGTCCCACACTATCCCCCAACACCAACCTCACCCTGAACTCTGTGCCCACCACCCATCCCATCTTTAATCCCAGCCCTATTCCTACCTCTTACTTCTATTCTCCACACCTTCTTTCCCAAGTGGGGCTGTCCCAACACCCATAGCCCCACCTGAACATCAGTCCTGGTCCTTTCAAGCCTGTTCAAACTCGGTTGCACCCGAGTCCATCACTAGCGCTCTCGCCCTGTCTTAACCCCTTCCAGACCCATGCCCTGCTCTCCCTCTTGAGGGTAATGCCAGTCATTTCTCCCACCTCCTCTTCTGCAGATCCAGCCATCCATCTCTCTGGCCCTGAGGGGAGCTAAGATCTTATCCGGCAACATCGACTGCCACGTCTTCCCCTTTCCCCACTTCGGCAAGAACTTCATCAGAAGTTGTCATGTCTCTTCGGACAGTTTCATCCAACTGGTCCTGCAGCTGGCTCACTTCCGGGTCAGTGGGCATCCGCGGTGCCCGCTCCCTTAGGGCTCCAGCCCCTCCAGATCTCAACACCTGCCCCTCCAGCCACCTCTTAATGTCCTTGTGTTTTGTCATTGTGAGTCATCTGTTAATCCAGCTCATGGGTCATTCATTGTGTTTCGAATTAGCCTTTGGGGGGGCAGGGTCTCACTGTGTATCCCTTGCTAGCCTCAAACCCACAGAGATCCACCTGCCTCTACCTACCAAGTGCTAGAATTAACAGCATGCACCACCGAGTCTGGTAGATCAGTTATCTTGTTGTAGGTTGACATCTCGTTGTCAATCAGCCATCTTATTCTGGATCGTTCCTCCTGTGTGGGTCAGCCATATTGATCCTTCTACGTAGAAGGATTTTTAAGCAGAGGGAGGTTGATTGGAGGTCAGGACAAAAGTGGATGAAAGCTACAAAGACAGCCTGAGGCGACTCACAGGCTCTTCTTTTCCCCAGGACAGGGGTCAGTTCTGCCTGACTTATGAGTCGGCCATGACCCGGCTGTTCCTGGAAGGCAGAACAGAGACAGTGAGGTGCTGTACCAAAGAGGCCTGCCACTTTGTGAGAGCGATGGAGGACAAGGAGAAGACAGTGAGTGTGGCCTTGCTGAGGGCTCTGTCGCCTGTGCTCACAAGGACCTGGGAGGGGCACCTGCATGAGGGAGGCGGCCAGGAGGGTGGGGGCTTTGCTGTGGGGACACACAGCGCTGGAGCACAACTTCGCAGGGAACCGAGACTTCGCAGGGAACCGCTTCTGCTCTTTAGCCACTTTGGTCATGTGACCATGACCTCTATCTACACCATGCCTCAACTTACTTATAGCCTCTAAACAATTTCTGTCCTCCCTCCGCCTGTCCCCAAAGCCTGCTCCCTTACCTGTGAGATACCGTGGCTCTCTAAAGGGTTTAAATGTCCTAAAGTCGGTCACCGAGCTGTGTGATCCTGTCTTTTCATGACCTCTGACTGCCCGGGGGACCCAGGACCAGCAGCGCCTTGCCCTGTTCCGGGTTGCCGTGGACAAGCACCGGACTCTACTGAAGGCAGCAATGAGTGGACAGGGGACCGACCGCCACCTCTTCGCACTCTACATCGTGTCCCGGTTCCTCCATATGCCGTCGCCCTTCCTGACCCAGGTGGGCGCAGAAGGGAAGAAGTGAGCAAGTCAGAGAGAGGGGCTGAGGGCAGAGTGGGGTTCAGCAGTAGAACACCGGTCCAGAATCCCCCGGTGAGGGGCTGGGGTGTGGCTCAGTGGTAGAGCCCCTGCCTAGCAAGCTAAAGGTCCTGGGGTTAATCCCCAGCACCATCAGAGGAGAAGAAAGAGCACAGTGGGAAAGGGGCAAAAAGAAGGGCGAGGTGGGGTCAGGAAGATGGACGTGGTTAGGGACGACGGGACAGTCACTGACTTTGGAGGGGTTGGCGTAGGAGGAGGTCTGGCTTGTGGTGAAGCAAAGAGAATCTTTTCTGCTCACGTGAGTGCCTGTTCCCCAGGTCCAGTCACAGCAGTGGCCGCTGTCCACCAGCCAGATCCCTGTGCAGCAAGCGCACCTGTTTGATGTCCACAATTATCCAGATTATGTCTCCTCTGGAGGTGGATTTGGGCCTGTGAGTGGGGTGTGGTGCAGCCAGGGACGGAGGAATGGGGATTGGTGCCCTGTCGGTGTGGACGAGGGGCTGGGCTACTTGTTTGCTTCCCTTTCCCCACTCCAGGCCAGTGACCATGGGTATGGCATCGCCTATATCTTCACGGGAGAAAACATGATCACCTTCCATATTTCCAGCAAGAAATCGAGCACAGAAACAGTGAGATGAACTGAGTGCCTTCCATACCCTCCTAAATCTGGGATGGAGTCAGTCAGTCTCCAGGGTCCCTGATCTAGCCTCCTCCCTCGGACCTCCCAGTCCTCCCTAGCTCCTTGTCTGCTTCTCTGCAGGACTCCCAGCGGCTGGGGCAGCACATCGAGGATGCACTGTTGGATGTAGCCACCCTGTTCCAGGCCGGGCAGCATCTCAAGTGCCGGTTCAGGGCACTTGAGGGGAACTCGGGATACAGACGTGGCTTTCTCTCCAGTAAGACTGTGGACCCCAAAGTCCCCACAACATCCACCAACTTTTGAGCTCCTCAGCAGGGAGCTGGTCTCCCTTAGGAAGGAGTGTGCTGTTCCCAGGGCTAGGCTGGCACAGACGGGGGTATGGGGATCCCCACAGCCACCTGGTAATAAAGATTCGTAAGTTGGGTGCGGCCTCCACTGTGCTCTTGTGCAGGGTGTGCACCCTTCCCACCCCAGCTTACATCCTCGGTTGTCCCCACTGTCACCGTAGCCCACACCACTACCCTGGCAGGTTCCACTCTAAGCTCCCTGGCCAGACCAGCTCAATCAGCTCTTCACACTCTGAACCTACTCCTGCCCCCCAGGACAAAAGCGCTGTTAGGTTGTCTCCAAACTGAGGTCTGGGCAGCAGTTCTTTCCTGTGGGAGGAAGGATTGAGATGGCATCGGAATCCAGGCTGCTCTGGAGCTTCCGGTCTAACAGAGGGTGATCATGAGCTCTTGATCTTCCTGTGTCTGCCTCCCAGAGGCTGGGGTGGCAGGGGTGTATCACTGTGTCCCCCTATTGAAAAGTCAGAAGAAGGCTAGCCTGAACTACATAACAAGGCCCAGTCTCATACGGGAGAGGATGTCACACCTTTAATCCCACTGCTCGGGTAGCAGAGGCAAAGGGATCTCTGTGAGTTTGAGGTGAGTTCCAGCACAGCCAGGGCTGTCACACAGAGAAACCCTGTCTCAAAACAAAGCAGTAACAGGGCTTTACTTTTTTTTTTTAAGATTTATTTTATTTATTATGTATATAGTGTTCTGTCTGCATGTGTCTCTGCAGACCAAAAGAGGGCACCAGATCTCATTACAGATGGTTGTAAGTCACCATGTGGTTGCTGGGAATTGAACTTAGGTCCTCTGGAAGAGCAGTCAGTACCCTTAACCTCTGAGCCATCTCTTAACCAAATGCCTCCGGGATTTGGTGGGTCATCATTTTATTAACCTCATTTGCAAAATGGATTGAAGGACTGGGCTGTCCTGGGACCTGAGAGACTGAGGGCCAGTGACAATCCAGGGCCCTCTGCCAGGGTGATTGCCTCCTTCTCCTCCCTTCCCTTCCTCCTCTGTTTATTCCCCTCCTCTCTCTCTCTCTCTCTCTCTCTCTCTCGTTCTTGTTTTTGAGACAGGGTTTCTCTGTGTAGCCTTGGCTGTGCTAGGATTAAAGGCATGTGCCACCACCTCTCTCTCTTTTTAAAAATTTAAAAAATTTTATCTGTATCATCAGTGTTGTGTGTGTGTTACATGCACTGTGTACACGAAGTGCCAGCCGAGGCCAGAAGAGGCTGTCAGGTTCCCCAGAACTGGAGTTACAGATAGTTGTGAGCCACCAAGTGGAAGCTTGGACATGAACTCAGGTTCTTTGCAGGAGCAGTAACTGCTCTTAAGCACTGAGCCTTCTCTCCAGCCCCTGCTTTATTCTTTGAGACAGGGTCTCAGGTTAATAGGCTGTCTTGGTATTTCCTGTGTAGTCTAGTGTTGACTGGTGCGCACCTGAACCTGGGTGGTCCGGATGACCCCAGAACTTCAAACCAGCTCAGCAAGTGCTCTATGTTTCCAGCTGTATCCCTTCCCATTTTTTAAATATTTATTTATTATTATTACGTATATTCTGTCTGTGTGTATGTCTGCAGGCCAGAAGGGGGCACCAGACCTCATTACAGATGGTTGTGAGCCACCATGTGGTTGCTGGGAATTGAACTCAGGCCTTTGGAAGAGCAGGCAACGCTCTTAACCACTGAGCCATCTCTCCAGCCCCCTTTCATTTTGTTTTTGAGAAAAGATGTCACTGTATAACTAGGCTGTCCCAGATCCCATGGCGGTCCTGACGACTACTTTTCAATGCCAGCTCAGAATCAGGATTCATGCCAGCGTGAGAAGCCATTTATTGTTCAGAGCCTGGGCCCCCACGTTTAGGGGGAGCCCCTCCAGTGCTTCCTCCCACGACTGCCCCTGTGGACCCCTCAAGTGGCAGGTGGTTGAGCTGGTCGTGGAGAGAGCACATCTTCAAATGCATATAGTCCAAAGTGGCCACCTTCTCCCTGCAGTGACAGTCAGCGGGGGTCAGCCCTGGGAAGGCCCAGCTGGGGGCTAGGGCAGGTGGCCTCACCCTCCTCCCATGCCCTCCGCCTCAGTCCTCACTCCGGCTTCATCTTGTCCGTCAGCAGTAGGTTCTTGGCCCGAACGGCTTCGTCTTGGGCCAGCCGAAGGGTGAAGCTCAGGGCCTCTGCCCTGACTTGTTTGGCCAAGGCCTGGTGCTCCAGCTCCTGGGGAGAGGAGTGTAGGCGCCGCTGGGCTTGCTGGACTGGGCTGGGGGTGGAGGGGGAGCTGGGTCGCGGAGGGTAAGGGGTAGGGTCCCATGGAGCCCACACACCACCCAAAGTAACCCATCAGGCCTTGAGCTTGGGGACAACCCTGGTATCCCACAATTCGCCTGTCTCCCCAACTGCATCTCACGGGACGCCCGTGAGTGTCCTGGATGTTCTCAATGCACTGGCCTGTGTCTCAGCAAGCTGAGTCAACACTCAAGTACTGTGCCCCTAATGCCTAGGAACTGTCCCATACTGTGCGTATCCCGGACTGCATGGTGCCCTTCCACATCCCATAATTCTTAAGTCCCTCTGTTACAAGAATGGTCCCTACCATTATAGCGCTCCATTCCCACAGTTCACCACACCCTGTGACCTTCGGTGGATTAGGGCTGCAGCTCTCATTACAATTCACATCCCGTCATCCCTTAGGCCAGCATCCCATCATGCACTGACCTCTGTATCTATGATGCGCCAGGCCACGACCTCATGCATCCCTATAACTACTCTCTCTAATGTATATCCCACAGGCCAATACGCACTCGCTCTCTATGTCCCACAATGCACCAGGCCTCAAGCTCTGACAGCTAGAAGGCTGTGACTTGTGGAAGTGGGTCCCTCTGTGTCCAGTGACCTCCCTGAAGGGCTACAGAAAATCAGGTCCATGATTCAGAGCTACAAAGTGGAATCTGCTCCACATGATGTCCCAGCCCCGTGCATTAGTATTGCTTCGGGCAGAGTCTGTCACCGTGGGCTGCAGAATGACTGGGCTGTAACTCAGCAGCCACCAAACTCTGACCTGCCTGCACAGAGGCCAGCAGGGTTCCTGAGCAGGGCTGCCCACACCCTGCTAAACACAAAAGTAACTTGGGTCATGGCAACCCATGGTTTCTGGTACCAGAATCTTCTTGTGTAGCCTCTGGCAGCTGGGGCAAGCAGGAGCCAGGCCTTTTTGCTTCACCTCATCTACCAGCGGGGTCAGCGCACGTTCCAGAAGCTGCCGCAGGGACTCTGTGGACAACTGCTGCCCCTGGCTGTGGAGTGAGAGTCAGCAGATGGGTGATGCCCTGGTTAGGCTCCATCATCTCCTTTTCTTTTTTGTTTGTTGAGACAAGGTCTTTTTTACTTAGCGTTGGCTATCCTGGAACTCATGATATAGACCCATCTAGCCTCGAACTCACAGATCTGCCTGCCTCTACCTCCTGAGTGCTGGGATTAAAGACATGTGCTGCCACTTCTTGACTGGTGGTTCTTGCCTTTAAGCCCAGTACTTGGGAGGCAGAGGCAGGCGGATCTCTGCTTGAGGCCAGCCTGGTCACCAGAGAAACCCTGTCTTGAAAAAACAACAAAGAGTCATAAACCACCAAGTCTGGTCTTGCTTCTTAAAGCACCTTGCGTAACCAGCCAGACATCGGCAGCACAGTTACGCGTGACTGGAAACCCACTTCCTGATCTCCACAGCACATGGAGGTCTCACTTCGTGTGTGCATGCGTGGGGGGTCAAAAGTCAGTGAGTGTCTTCCTCAACCAATCTCCACCTTTATTTTATTATTTTATGTGCATATTTTATATGCATCTGTAGGTATGCGTATGTGCCAGGAGAGGCCAGTGGAACTGGATTTCTACAGATAGTTACAGGGTGATTTTGAGTGTCCTTTTGTGGGTCTTCTGAAAGCAATGTGGGCTCTTAATCTTCTGAGTCATCTCTCCAGCCCCTTACTTTTTTTTTATTTATTATGTATACAACATTCCTTCCATGTATGCTTGCATGCCAGAAGAGAGCGCTAGATCTCATTATAGATGGCTGTGAGCCACCATGTGGTTGCTGGGAATTGAATTCAGGATCTCTGGAAGAGCAGTCAGTGCTCTTAACCTCTGAGCCATCTCAACAGCCCCAGCCCCTTACTTTTAAGATTTTAGTTCTGTGTCTGTGTGCCTGCATGCCCCATGTGTACAGACAGGGGCCAGAAGAGGGTGCTGCATCTCCTGGAACTGGAGATGCTGAGAGCCACCATGTGAGAGCTGGGAATGGAACCTGGGTCCTCTGGAAGAGCACCCAGTGCTCTTAACCCCTGGACCATCTCTCCAGCCCCTCCAGAGAATGTGGGCATGCTGGTGTGAAGGGTGGAGGACAGCCAGCGTGGGTGGGTGGGCATGCGGGTGCAGAGGGCGGAGGTCAGTCAGCATGGGTGGGTTCTCCTTCCCCCTTCCACAGGGGCGGAGATGTGGCTGTCAGAGCGCACACTTCAGCCCTTCGGCCACCTCTCTCACCCCATTGTACTTCCGTTTTCTTTTCTTTTTAAAAAATAGAATCTATCAGGCTGGAGAGATGGCTCAGAGGTTAAGAGCATTGCCTGCTCTTCCAAAGGTCCTGAGTTCAATTCCCAGCAACCACATGGTGGCTCACAACCATCTGTAATGGGGTCTGGTGTCCTCTTCTGGCCTGTGGGCATACACACAGACAGAATATTGTATACATAATAAATAAATATTTAAAAAATAAAATAAAAATAGAATCTATCAGCCAGGCAGTGGTGGCGTATGCCTTTAATCCCAGCACTCGGGAGGCAGAGGCAGGCGGATCTTTGTGAGTTCGAGGCCAGCCTGGTCTCCAAGAGCTAGTTCCAGGACAGGCTCCAAAGCTACAGAGAAACCCTGTCTCGAAAACTCAAAAAAAAAAAAAAAAGAAAAAGAAAAAAGAATCTATCTGTGTAGCCCTGGTTGGCCTGGAATTTGCTATGTATACAGGGCTGGTCTCATATACACTGCAGTCCACCTGTCTCTTGAGTCCAAGTGCTGGGATAAAGGCATGCATAAGTTTGCACATCAGAAGAGGG